CTTTCTGGAAGCAAGAGTTAATTGGCTGCTGCATTTGCACGTTTGTGAACAAGCTAATGAGTATGATGTGGGGGGTGGTAAGTGAATGTGGAAGTTCTTTTGCAATAATTTTGCCAGGCGGAACACTGTGTTTTTATCTTGTTTTTGTATATGGGAAATGCATCCAGAAGACAAAAATGTATCAAGGAGTTAGTGATTTCACATGGTTACCCTCCCTGCCTCTGTTCCTTCCCCCTCCCTCGCTCTTGTTAAGTTTTTCGATGGTGCGAGAACAGTCTTTAATGTCCTGAGAACCTTGGGAGGAGGTGAAGCCCCTCCCCCACAGCTGCCTTAATCAGCTGTGGAGGATAGTGCTGAGTACCTTCTTCGATGTTGGACATTGTTTTGAGAAAGTAAGGCATTGGGAGAGGGTGGCTAATGGATGATCTGCACGTATTCAGTCTTGGAAGCCACACAGGCTATCTATTAAATTGGACGGTTTGGGCAGAGTTTCTTTGAAGCTCGTGCATGAACTGATCGGCTGCAGGGCCATGCAAACAGAGGCTACCTGGGGGAGTCACATTGCTGCTTCTTGAGGGCTTCCTACTCACTTGTGTATTTTGTATTGCTTCTGAATCTCATTTTAAAAGAACCACCTTGCCTTTGGCAAGACAATTTGGTTCTGTGAACCGCCCTAATATCTTGTGATGAAGAGCGGTATATAAATGTAATAAACAACACCACCACCACTGAGGTTTGCAAAAGTACAAACCTGCTGTACCTGGAAGTGGGTGGGGAGAGTGCAGCTGAATGGGACACAGCTGCGGGCAGCCTGAGGAAGTATCATCCCCCTTGGGCCTGCCCATAAAAAGCAAGTCTAGAGTAAGAGAATAGGGTGACGTCTTCTGTTTGCAGGAACTCTTCTTGTTATGATATTTTTGTGGTTGAGCTGAGTGTTTGGACCCTGGGTGAGAACCCGGAGGGTGTGGCAGGAGGAAAACGAACTGATGTATAGGTATATGTAACATTTTTATATGCAACTGTGTATTTTTGTAATAGTTTAAGTTGCCTGTTGTTGTTTCAGTTTTCTGTACCCCGCTTAGAGATCTTTTTAATTTATTAGGCAGTATAGAAATTAAATAATAACATAAAAATAATCAAAAGAATATTTAGGAGGAACCCGCCCCCCCCCCCGAGGAGATTACGGTTATTACATGCCCTTCACCAGCAAGTCCCGGAGCAGGTTACAACAAGCTATAGAACGCTCTCTCTCTAATTAAAGGTGGGGGAGCAAAGTTTGCGTAGTTTTCTAAACTGCACAATGTCAGCATGAGAGTGGTACTCGACTAGCACAAAGGACTTTCACCAGACATGCAATCCTATGTGTGCGCACTTGGAAGCAAGTCTCAGTTACTTCAAGCAGGTGTGCACAGGACTGCAGCCTGAGAACACCAGAAGAAGCTTTGTTCTAATTAGAGAGGGGGGAAGAAAATGAGGGGAAAGAAAACATACTCTTATAGGCACTGGCTCTAGAAGGGCAGCTTACATTTTTGAGGCGCTTTATGTCTGCTTTCTCCTCTTGCTCTTTGCGACGTTTCTTCTCCTGAAGAATTTCATCTAACGTTTTCACTTTCCAAGATTCCTTTTCATCACCCATTTGTGTTTAAAAAGGCACTAAAAGAAAAGACAACCATCAAATGAGGCTGCTGCTACCCTATCACAGACCTGGCTGTCCACATTTTAATAACGCTGAGATTAAAACTACCGTTAAGGTACTCTGCCTGCAGCCACCTCTGAAAAGCACTTGGAAACTATAATTAGCCCAAAACAAACAGGCCAGTTTGCTAGCTGGGTTGGCATCATGAAAAACATCTACTATATATTTCAGAAAGTTGCTCGTCTGCTGCCTATGCATTTGGACACTTCCTAAGATATTGCAACAAAACTTTTGAATGAGCTCAAAGAGCAAGTTTTTGTCTATGTTTGGATACAAGGCCATTTGAACTCAAATGGTGGACCGAACCATTCAAAACTGCACTGATTTCAATGACTGGTTTCAACAATGTACTGGTTTTGGGTTGTTTATACATAATTTCCAAGCAACGCTGGGTACGAGGCTGCTAGTATAATGTAACTACAGCATTCATTTATTAATAGGGTCATTGAAAGCTTCCTTAGAGCACATCAGTCACCCGATTCTCCTATCTCAGCTATTGTCTCCTTTGAACAGCTCTCTAGCCTCTCAGGAAGAGACAGGTTTCTTCCATCACCTGATACCTAATTATTTAAACTCAGACACCGGGAATTTTTGGCCCTGCAGGCACTGCTGAACATCAGCCCTAGAAAACACAGCCAATAGCCAGGGATGATGGGTGTTGTAGTTCAACAACATCCGTAGGACCAAAGGATTCCAACACATGTTATAATAGGAAGGACAAAGGTTTAAACCTGGGGCTTTTCGAATGTGACGCACGCAGCCCCCACTCCTTCAGGATGTTTCCTCCCCATATATCATTGACTGGTGGGCAACAGCCTCCACAAGCAGTTTGCCCCAAATGCACCATTGTTAAAGGTACAGTGGTACCTCGGGTTACATACACTTCAGGTTACAAACTCCGCTAACCCAGAAATAGTACCTTGGGTTAAGAACTTTGCTTCAGGATGAGAACAGAAATCGTGCTCCAGCAGCGCAGCAGCAGCAGGAGGCCCTATTAGCTAAAGTGGTGCTTCAGGTTAAGAGCAATTTCAGGTTAAATACGGACCTCCAGAACGAATTAAGTACTTAACCCGAGGTACCACTGCATTCAGAAGGCATAGCCCCTGCACAGCTGTACTAGAGCTAGGAACTTCAGCAGGTGCAGTGACCATGAACAAAAGTTCCTTTAAAGTAAAAGCTCACAGTCCACAAGCTAGCCTTTGAATTTTGCAGACTTACACACAACCCCCCCCAAAAAAAATCAACCCATACAGCATCGTGTTTGTAGTGATGGCACAGGGCAGGACCAGGAAGACCAAAAGCTCGAATTGGGGTGGATGTTATTGTTTGGTTTTGTCATTGTGGCTATGCCCTTTCGCGTTTTTACATTGTAAACCGCAATTTGACCCTTGGCGAAGGGGGGGGGTGTACATAAATTTAATAAATAAATAAATAACGGTAGATAAATAAAACACCCGCTCAGCCAAGAGCTCCGGACTTGAATGAAGTGAACAGAACTTGAATGAAGTGGGACGGGGTTGGACAGAGAAGGAAGTTCCGAGCGTCTTGGGGACGCGAAAGAGCGCCAGGAAGAAAATCTCCAAATCCTAGTAAAATAAGGAGAGCTCGAGAGGGCGCCTCACCACCACCCGCTACAAGGGAGGCCTAGCCCCACAACACGCCACCCCGGCAAGGCAGGCCGCCCTACCACGGCCCACCTTCCCCGCCACAGGAAACCCCGCTTCCCTCCCCTCTGAAACCCGGCCCCCGGCCCCGGGGGAGCGGGGAAGGGAAGGCGGCCCACCGCAGCTGCAGCCTCCCCGCCTTCGACCCTCCCTTACCTTCCCTGTCGCCCCTACCGCCACCGCCTCCACGACCCACTTGCCGGGGATGCAGTGCCCGGAAGCGCGACGCGTGGCGCACGCATTTCTTCCGGCGCGGGTCCGTTACGTCACCGGAAAGGGGGAGGTTCCCGGCCCGGCCCGGGGACAGTTAAAGGGAGAGGCCCATCCGCTTGTGGACGTTCGCAGAACGTCAGCCGGAAGCCCATAGACTTTCGAATAGACCTATGAGGGGGTAACGTACTTCTGGGTCCACTAAGCCTCCCAGCTCCAAGACGGAAATCAAGCGTTTTCTTGTGGACATCAATGCACAATATAGACATGCATAAAGTGTGGACTTAGAAAGGCTCCCTAACTTCCAGGGTGTTGTTTTTTTATGGCTCCCCACTCCAAAAAAAACCACCCCCAGCTGTGGAATTAAGGGAGAAGTGCCCACGAAAATCAATGGATAAAATGGTATTGTTGTTGTTTAGTCGTTGAGTCGTGTCCGACTCTTCGTGACCCCATGGACCAGAGCATGCCAGGCACTTCTGTCTCCCACTGCCTCCCGCAGTTTAGTCAAACTCATGCTGGTAGCTTTGAGAACACTGTCCAACCATCTCGTCCTCGGTCGTCCCCTTCTCCTTGTGCCCTCCATCTTTCCCAACATCAGGGTCTTTTCCAGGGAGTCTTCTCTTCTCATGAGGTGGCCAAAGTATTGGAGTTTCAGCTTCAGGATCTGTCCTTCCAGTGAGCACTCAGGGCTGATTTCCTTAAGAATGGATAGGTTTGATCTTCTTGCAGTCCATGGGACTCTCAAGAATCTCCTCCAGCACCATAATTCAAAAGCATCAATTCTTCGGCGATCAGCCTTCTTTATGGTCCAGCTCTCACTTCCATACATCACTACTGGGAAAACCATCGCTTTAACTATATGGACCTTTGTTGGCAAGGTGATGTCTCTGCTTTGTAAGATGCTGTCTAGGTTTGCCATCGCCTTTCTCCCAAGGAGCAGGCGTCTTTTAATTTCGTGACTGCTGTCACCATCTGCAGTGATCATGGAGCCCAAGAAAGTAAAATCTCTCACTGCCTCCATTTCTTCCCCTTTTATTTGCATTTAATTATGGCTGGGAAGAAAAAAGGCCTGCAGGTATTTCAAATTCAGGTTCTCTCTGTGTGTACATGTGGCTTGTTTCCATTTTTAAGTTGGATGCCATTCTATGGTTATTGGCAGCTCAACAGTTTGTTTTGCTCTCTCGTTCAATTCTCCCAGAGAATATAGCTCAGCATGCTGGGGGAACTGAACCTGGGCTAAAGTTGATACCTTTGGTTTGGGCAAAATTGAGACATATCAGGGGGGTGAGGATTGAGTGGCGCCCACCAAATTCTCCAGCCCCCTTTGTGGAGGGAGGGTTCCTCACATTTGGCCTCCTGCCTCCCTCACCACCCCAGCCCTGTTCTTTCCCTCAACTCATGTAGACAGGATAATTAAACAGAGAGCAAAACATGGTTTTGTTTTTATTTACCAAAGGAGAAGATACAGTGAACAAAAACAGGATTATGTACAGTTACAGGTTTCTTTCCTTTAAAAACAACAACATTGCAGCTTGTATTTTTGCCTCTTACGCAGGTAGCAAAAGCTCATCCACAGGATCAGTCCATTTGGAGACGTTATACGGATGTCAGTGTTACATTAAATTGGTTGTGCTTGAAAGCAGGTTTATAAAGCGGGTGGATGTTCCACATTAAGTCAATACTGGAAGAGTGAACATACTCAATTATGTATTGCATACACTTTTATTTTCATATTGGTATCCCAATATACTTAAAGTTTGGCCCCATTGCAAAAAAAAAAAAATAAAAAGCACCCATGAGAGATTGTGTGTTCAAGTTTCCGCAGGAAAAAAACATCTTGTCATTTTCTGGATAACAAATGTGAACTATTTATCTAAATTGCAGGCATTTCCCAGAAACATCATCTTTGATTAAAACACCGTCAAATACTGATTACCTTAGGTCCCCAGATGCTGCTGGACTACAACTCCCATCATTCCTGGCCAACTGTGGCAGCAGTCGGGGACAGTGGGAGTTGCAGTCCACCATCAACTAGGAACTTAGTGGAAAAGCACTGTTCCACACCACAGACGTAAATTGGTTTGATGTCCATGAGGGGCTTAACTGTCACTGTTTCCCTGGCAGACTTGGAAATTGTAGCTTGACAAGAGGGCCGAGAATTATGTCGATTCTCTTAGTAATTTGTTTCTTGGAACTACCTTTCCCATGATTGCTAGAGGAGGAATCTGTGGCTAAACCAGTTTTGTGTGTAGCTAGGCTATGCCTCTTTCTGGGCAGCCCAGAGGCCGAGGCAGGGCTCGTAGGATGAGGTATCTTATAGATTAGTACAACCATCCTGAACCTGACCATTTGAGGCCATTCTTATTGCAAAGCCCATGCAATGCTGAAACACAGACATGCTGTTTATAAGGATTCGTGCTGGAATGCTTAGTGATTAAACCACCAGTTGCCAACATGACACCCGCAGGCACCATAGGGCTCTTGAGGTCTTCTGGCGCCCAAAAAGCCTCTGAGCCCCTTGCCCTATCCACTCACTGTCTCCTCTGTCACAAGCTGGTGAGGGTGGTGACCTTCCCTCCCTACCCCCACTTTGAAAGATACATAGAGCTGAAGGAGGATGCTGATAGACAGGCGCTCTTTCCCACTTCCTCTTTCAACTCTTTTCAAGGCTCTACTACCGGATCTGACTTTTACACAGAGCCCTCGGAAAAAAACAAAGTATGCAAATACACACGTTCTCTATTTCTGGCCCTTGAGGGCAGGGCTGAGCTGGGGAAAAGGTGACTGGAGGCAGTGGAGCAGACAGGCCTGAAAAAGTTGGCAACTCCTCAGCCAAACATTCAGTTGTTAAATGTTTAGTATCAGTTAATTGATTTGCTTACCCAACAAAAAGCTTCCTAATAAGTTTTTTTAAAAAAGTTCCCCCGTTCATCGCGTGGCTAAAAACACATACAACTACAGCATGAAATACTGATAACACACAAAAATATGTCAGCTTGAAAGAGGTACTCCTATTTCTCTTACACATGGGAGTGAACACCCCCTAAAGTGGCACCTACTGTGATACGCAGGTCTAACATCTGTAATGGACAAAATGCTTATCTTCACGGCTATGGTTGTGTTTCACTTTGGCAGCAATCCTATATACACATACCTGGGAGTAAGCCCTGAATAACTCAGCGAAGCTTATTTCTTAGGCGTGCATAGGATGTTAAACTAGCTGGTGATTGGCAGACTTGGGTAAAATTTTACCAGTAGTGTCTGGTAGGGCAGAAAGCAGGGAGGCCAACAGTAGGTGGCGCCAGAGCCAATGGCAGCCAGAGCCAGCCAATTCTAATTTTGTCTCCAGAGGAAACACTGAGAATGACAACCAATGCCACCTCCTGGTCTTGCTGCAAGTAAGAATGCAGGCAGGTGGGGGCCGGCTGAGGTTGGTGGGGCAACACGCCCAGATGGACCAGCCTCTGTTGAGCTGTAGTAACGTGGCTGGTGTTCTTGTGGCTCAATGACACACAGCTTTCTTTTTTCCCCCTTTTTTTGCAAAAGGGCAGGTGTCCCTGCTGAAATGTAGCACAATACTAAACAGTATTGAGCAGCGCAACCCTAAAGTTAAGCCTGTTTACTCTGCCATTTGCAACCACATCTCTGTGGGCCAGGGAGGCCCTAGCTTATGGGCTCTCTCGCTCTTTCCCGTTCTATCCAGCACAAAACATGGATCGCAAAGACCTGTTTTAATTCATTCTACAGGCTGCAATCCTATACCGTGCCTACCTGGGAAGAAGCCCCACTGAATTAAGGAAGGCTTACTTCTGAGTAGACATCATTAGGACGGCACCGTATATAACTTATAAAATGCCTTTTAGGGTGCAATTGTCCTTGCAAGGCAGTGTACAAAATTTCATGCAAACCTACTCAAAATGATGCCAAGTCTTAGACCACTGGTCTATACTGGCTTGCTGCTGTCTACTTGTGAGTTCGCAGGCAGAGAGTTTGTCCTGTCACCTTCTACCTGGAAGGATGCAGCTCAAGTGTTACAGCATCTGCTTTGCATGCCTAAGGTTCAACCCCTGGAATCTCCAAGTAAGGCTGGGAACAGTCCTGTCTGAAACACTGGAGTTGCTGCCGGCCAGTGCAGACAACACTGAGCCGACACAGTATGAATCAGCTTCCTTTGCTCCTATGGGCTGCATCCAACTTTAGCTCTACTCAGAGAAGACCCAGTGAAATAAGCGAGTCCTGCTTATTAACTTCGGTGGGTCTCCTCTAAGTAGGGCAAGCAGGGACTACAACCCACCAGCCTCTGCTTCCTTCTCAATGCAAACTTTTGGCCGTGTTAGTTGCTGACTACAGCCATTGACCCAGAACAGAACTGGAAAACCCCAGTGTCCCAACCACCCACCCCGCTGTTAACAACCTTGTGAACTAACCTGAAACCTCATGAGAAGGTAGGAACACCTCTGCCATTTCCCCCTTATTTTTCTTTCTTCCGTTTAAAACAAAAGGGACCCTGCTTCTTCCTCCTTTGGTTCCCAATTCATAATTCTCAGAAGCAAGCTTTGCTATGTGTATCAAGCTGGTACCCCCACATTTTCCAAGAGTCCGTTATTTATTGCCTACCTACACAGTCTCAAAACTGAAGGTGGGGTGAGATAAGACATTCAAAGCTGCCCACCTACCTGACCTCTAGTGCAAAATATTTCCCAGCCATGCTTTTAATAACGTACATTTCACTTCGGAAGGCACCTAGAAATTAAACTTGGGGTGTGTGTGTGTATGTGTAAAAGAAGATGGCTACCAAAATTGTGTGTGTGGAGGATTGCTATCAGAACTGATGATATCATCTCCTTGTTGGCTGAAAGGTCTCTGGAGGGTTTTGCCAATAAGAGAAAGTGAGAGACAGTGGTATCCCCCCTTTTCAGTCCATTGTGTGTTTGGGGCTCGGGGATGATGGGGTGCACATCTGTCACGCAACATGCTAGTGGTTAAGAATCCCCACAGCCCCAAACCGTTCCACCTTTTGCTGGTTTTGAATCTCCAGAAAACAATGCTCTTAACCGTCTTGGGCTTTTGGGCTGAAGTGGTGGCTGACCTTCCCCTATCCCAACTGACCGTTGCTTCGTAGTCTTTTCGAAACGCAGACGTTTCAGCTCAAGTCCCTGCAACGGATGAGATGGGTCGGCAGTGCTGTGCCGCCGATGGGGAAACTTGCTGTATTTCACATTGCTTTGGTGGAGGCTGGGCCCCAAGCAACCGCCTGACATTTTGCAAGCTCTTTAGACAGAGTCAAAAGTCCATACGTTTCCATTCTATACATCCGCTTCTCAAAGAGCTCTCTCTGTGTGTGTGTGTATGTTGACGTGCAACTCATTTTTCTTAACCGCAGAAAAAAGGCCTTGCCCCCAGCAAGTGCCCACAGCCCCGTTATTCGCTGGGATTGTATACTTGACACCCCACCCCCAATAAAAACACCCCATGCTTCTCTGCAGCAAAGTTGTGGCAGAGGGACAGAGGGTGGCCTCATTCGTAGGGTTTCAAGTCCTTGGGAATCAGTGGTTTGGTGTCTTCGTTGAAGCTCTGGGACGCTTGGGGAGGAGAGGCTGCTGCCAGGCTCTGAATGGTCTCTTGCTGGTGCTGCTTGGCCTTGTTATAGAGCAGAACCCCAATTGTCACCAGGACAGTCCCGATGGCCGAGAGGCTGGTGATCTTGTTGCCAAACACGATGATGCTTAGCCAGATGGACAGGGCGTGTTTCACCGTGCTGGCAACGCTGGAAACGGAGAGGAAGATGGAGTGAGAAACAAGGTCAGAAAAACAGAGCTAGGCTCCCAGAGCATGTCAACAGACTGGGTGAGACAGAGAACTGTAGGGCTGCATCCATCACATTGCTTTCAACAGTCAGGCCTTTCCCCACCAAATAATCCCGGGAGCTGTAAGTGCCGAGAGCTGTTAATAGACCCCCTTCCCCTTGAGGGGGGACCACCAGGGGCCCCCAAAATTGATAGCCTATCGCTTGAAGAAAATGATGGTGTAATGGGAAATGTTTCTATGCATATGATTGGTAGAAATTGGAATCCTTTGTGTAAGAAACTTATAAATGGCCCCCCAGCATGGTGTTCAGATTTCTGTGGATTACCTGCTGAACCTATTGCTTGTAAAGTAATAAATCATGGGACTCTTATCTCCTCCTGGCTCCTGAGTTTTATCGGCCAGACCCAGCAGTTTACAGCCGTTTATGGCTTTCTTTGCCCTCACAAAGGTGCACGACCCAAAGTGGTTTATCAATCAACCCTCCTTCCCAGGATACTCTGTAAAGTGTAGCTCTCCTAACAACTTGCAGCACCCTTTGCAAACTACAGCTACCAGGATCCTTTGGGGGAAGCCATGACCATTTAAAGTGGTATAGTGGTGCTTGAAACATATGGGGCCTACATTATGCTCCGGGGAGACTAATGGGGTTGTATGCAATGCTAGACCTACCTAAAGATGTGATGGGGAATTGAACTGGAGACCTTCTGCTTCCAAAGCAGATGCTTTACCACTGAGCTATGCCTCCCCCCTGTCCCCCACAAGGGCCAAATTAAATGTTTGCATTCAGGAGTTTTAGCTCTGGCTCTTCTGCTCCATGACCATTGTTAAGCTTCAGCTTCCAATATAGGGAAGGGCTAATCAGCTTGATTGTGCCCACGGGCACCACGTTGGCAGATCTTGCACCCCACTATGCTGTCTTTCGTGCTCGTTAAAACAGCAGGTAAATAAGGAAACCTTTGCCCATGTACTGCACATTATCCAGCAACCTATTATTATTCGCTGTTGATATTAACAACATTCATCAGTCTCTTTATGCTGAAGACAAAATGCCAGAGCAACTTGACGAGATAAACTACAACAAAATTAAAGCAAATTAGAACTATAAAACTTTTAAAACTTTCAAAACCCATAAAACTCTCATCCAGTTGCAAAGTCCTACCCACTCTATGAAAATACGAGCTCCACCATGGGAGACTGTGTTAATTAACCAAAGGCCTTAGTATGGCATCTGCAGATGGACGAGGATGGCTCCAGGGGCAAGCATTCCACAGATGGGGAGCCACCACTGAAAAGGCCACCCTCTGCACCCTTAGGGTTGACCTATCAGGCAGTAGATCTCAACCTACTGCCAGTGGTCACCTGGTGTAAGTCGCCATAAGAGACCGATCTCTGGTCAAAAAGGCAAGGAAATCCATTGTTTAAATATATGCACACAAATCTTTTTTTCCCAAAAAACCCAAGACAAAATGCAAGGGGGATTCTTAACCTGAAAGTCACAGGGGAAATCTTTCCCATCAAGGCATAGGCTGTAACGCTTTGGAGATGAAACAGCACTCCGTCTATCAGAAGCAGCACGACGACATCCTGGTTGTACTGGAAGCTCTTCCCGCTTCTCCCAATTACTGGCACGTCCTAAGAAGAAAGGAAAAGAAAGAGGAAGATGGATGAGAGGCAGTGAAGGCTTCATTAAAACACACAGAAAGGGATCGCTGAAAAGTAAGGAAACACAGGAAGCTGCCTTGTACTGAGTAAGACCATTGATCACCTAAGCTCAGTATTATTGACTCTGGTTGGCAGCAGCTCTCTAGGTTTTCAGATTCTGGACACTCATGTGCGTTTTTCTTACATTATTCAGATTTAGATGGTTTCCATTATGTGAGGTTGCTTCCTGTATAATTCTCCTAGGGACAGATTTCTCAAAGGGATGTTTCAAAGACAGTTTCCTTTTTGAACGGCAGGGAGAAAAATTGTGGCGTGCTGATGGATACAGACAAAATACAGCGCCTGTAAGGTTTCATATGAACACACAAAGCTGCCTTCTCCGGAGTCAGACCATTAATCCATCTAGCTCAGTGCTGTCTACACTGACTGGCAGCAGCTCTCCAGGATTTCAGACATGGATCTCACCCAGCCCTACCTGGAGAGGCCAGGGATTGAACCTGGCACCTTCTGCATGCCAAGCCGGTGCTCTGTCATTAAGCTCTGGCCCTTCATTGCTAGAAGTCAGAGTCCACAGGTTCCCTCCCCATCCTTGCTTTATGGCGATAAAGCTTTATGCTTTATGGCGAGCCCTTCACGTACAGCATGTTAGTATAATCCCCACAACAGCCTACAGTGGTACCTCAGGTTAAGTACTTAATTAGTTCCGGAGGTCCGTACTTAACCTGAAACTGTCCTTAACCTGAAGCACCACTTTAGCTAACAGGGCCTCCTGCTGCTGCCACACCACTGGAGCACGATTTCTGTTCTCATCCTGAAGCAAAGTTCTTAACCTGAAGCACTATTTCTGGTTAGCAGAGTCTGTAACCTGAAGCGTATGTAACCTGAGGTACCACTGTAATACAAGCTGGCATTCTTCTTCCCATACTGCTGATCTGGAGGAGGCAAGTAGAGGCCGGGGGACCCTAGCTTGTTTACGGCTGCTTAGTAACAGAGGCAAGATTTGAATTTGGGTGCTTTGAAAATGGAGCAGGACTCTTCGTTTATAGCGGGGTTGGAGGGGGAAGAATGCATAAAAAATCTCACCATGAAAAAGATCCAAGCTGGAATCAGCATGATCACTGCAGCTGCACTGGTGTAGAACTGAAGCTCAGGAGCGCTATGGAAGTGGTGTTGGTTGGGGAGAATTAATCAAGTGAAATTAGCATTTTGCATGGGCTGCAATGGAAATAACAGTCAGAAGGACGAAACGGGAGACACCCAAACTCAATACACTGCTGAAACTGGAGATGATCTTTAAAAGCACAACAAAACCAGCTATGAGAGCGATGAAGGGTTACCCACAGCAGTGGTCCATACGTACGGTTCCTTACCCATCATACTTTTAAAGCGTGAAGTGTGGTTAGTTAAAGGTGCTGGGAATTGTAGTTCCGTATGAATAAACTACAGTTCCCAGGATACTTTTTGAGGGGGTGGGGAATGTGCTTTAAATGCATGGAAGGTGCATGGCTTATGCTGGGCATCAACACAGACAAAACGCTCCAGCTGCACTATACATTTACAGTAGCATCATGCCAATTTAACAGTCATGGCTTTCCCCAAAGAATCCAGGGAGCTGTAATTTTGTATGGGAGCAGAGAGTTGTTAGGAGACTCCTATTCCCCCCATTTCCAGAGTGGCACTACCCAGGGAATTCTGGGAACTGTAGCTCTGGGAGGGGAACAGGGTCCTCCTAACAACTTTCAGCACCCCTTAACAAACCACAGTTCCCAGGATTCTTCAGGGAAAGCCATCACTGTTAAAAGTGGTACAGTTCCCAGAGTTCCCTGGAGACACTCTGGGAATTTCAGCTCTATGAGAGGAAATAGATTGTCGATCACTCTGAAAACGGGATGCCTTTGGAGCCTGCTTTCAGAGGGGATTGAATGAGTGACCAAGCTTCCCACATGGAAAGCAGTTGTGCAGCCAATCCAGATTTATCTCTCCCTGCCCCATATATGATGTCAGGTGGACACGTTTAGAGGAAATAGCCTTGGGTGCCAAACTGCGACCCTTACTAGGCCCTGTTTAGGTCATGGGCTGGAAATTCCACACCCCAGGCTTAGAGACCTGCTTAATTCTTTTAGATACAAATCCTGCTAAATGAAACAAAATTCAACACAGGAACAAGCAAGCTTCTTTCAGAGGACAGCTAAAGCCTGCTTTGCATGCTTATCTGATCCCGTCCAGTAAATCAGAGGTCAGGGGAAGCTTGAATGGCCCTGGGCGGAGAACCAAAAGGCCCTTTGTCCTGTAACAGGCAGCTCAGTCCAGAGAAAACACAGATGTTGGTCAAAAGCATGAGAGATAAAGAGGGGGGAAGAAGCTGCTTGTCAGGCCAAGTGGCCCATCTGGTCCAGCATTCTGTTCTCACAGTGGCCAACCAGATGCCTCTGAGGAAACCTAACGGCAGGAACTGAGCACAAGAGCAACTCTCGCCACTAGTGATTCCCAGCCGATTCAGAGGCATTCGAAAGTGAAAGCAGAACAGAGTCATTGCTGATCTGGTGGAACAAGAGACTAGGGCCCTGCGGGACTTGACATCTTTCCGCAGGGCCTGTAAGACAGAGCTGTTCCACCAGGCCTTTGGCCAAGGCACAGCCTGACCCCCTCCTTTGGCAATCCTGACAGAACTCTAGTCCAATGGTTGCCATTAATTTGATTTGAATTGATTTTAGAATGAATTGATTTTAGAATGCTGTGTTACTTTTATTGTTGTTAGCAGCTCTGAGCCCGGCTTCGGCTGGGGAGGGCGGGATATAAATAAAATTTTATTTTTATTATTATTATTAGCAGCCACGGATAGCCTTCTCCTCCCTGATTTTGTCTAATCCTCAATAATCCGTGCTGTCTTGGGCTGATGCGAGTTGGAGTCCAACGACACCTGAAGGGCATCACATGGAAAACCCTTGCAGTAACCCAAACGATGAGAAGAGTCTTAGCCCTCTCACATGCTAGGAGCCAAGGAACTCGCTAAGACCTCTGTGAAGAAAGAGATGGATTTAGGACGGTTCTGAGAGCTCTCCTAAGCTGGCTGCTGTCCTCTGAGGGAGCTGGCAAAACAAGAAGGACTCACCAATGGTTCATCAACGTGGAGGGGCTTTTGGTTTCTGAAATACGACAGGTACTTACGAGAAGCGATACTTGTCTCCGCTGAGCAGTTTTTTGGAGAAAACGTTCTGCAAGCTGCAAGGGGGGAGGAAGCCACATGTTTGTTTATGAGAAGGAACACGGTTTGTGTGTGCGTGCAGGCGTATATGTGTGTGTGCGTGGAATGATTATTATCATTTATTAGACTTGCTGCTACACAAAGGTCTCCGACCGAGTTGCACAACTCAGGGTGGCCTGAGGCCTGCCGCTAATTCTCAGCCTAACCTACCTCACAGGGCTGTTGCAAGGGAAACTATGTAAGCTACATTGAGCCCCTTTGTGGAAAGGTAGGGATATAAATGCAGTAAGCAGATAAATTAAATTAGGAACAGAAACAGAAATACATTACAGGTGCACCCCCCTCCACTTATGCACTCACGCATGACTATTTTACATGCCGTGAAATAAATAACTAAATGAATAAATGGGCCTTCCCTCACTCAGGGCTGCTGCCTGGAAGTCACTCGGAGCTGCTGCTGGAGTGAGGGAGGGCAGACTTTGATCAACCAGCGGCACAGGGTGAAGGGCACCTTTTCTCTGCCTCTGCCATGCAGGTGCATCCTGGCACCAGTTTCGCTGGGCACCTTTCCTGGCCCTCCCCCTTCGTGGCCAGCCACAGCCGCTGTGTGCGCTGGCTGCCTTCAGGGAGGCAGGCAGGTTCGGTACAGGCCAGGCAGCGGCCGCAAGCAATTTCCAGGGTGGGTCTCTCTCTCTCCTCCCCATGTGCCCTCCCTATTCAAGTGGGGTGCTCCCCACTTTACATGATTCCACTTTCTAGGCCCGTCGTGTGAATGTGGGGGATACATGCATACAATGAACAGAATTAATGGAATTATAGAACTGTTAGGAGTTGAAAGGGACCTAAAAGGTCCCCCGGCCCGGCCCCTATAACTCATATAAAACACCTGTGATTCATATCTATATCTACTACACACACACGGACATACGCACATGGACATTTCTTGTATACACAACACACTCATCCCACACACTTCTGTCTGCAGTCTCCAATATACCGTATTTTCCCATATATAAGACTCTATTTTTTCCTTAGAAATAACAGGCCAAAATTGCGGGTCATCTTATACACGGATAGCAGAGAGGGGACGGGCGATTGGTGGCAGCAGCCAGTAGGAGATTGGCAGCGGCGATTTGGGCAATCCCCCGCCCCAATTTATTTATTTTTTGCAGTCCTAAAAATAAGGGTTGTCTTATACATGGGAGCGTGTTATATGTGGAAAAATACAGTATTTACCAGTCCATGATGTTTGTAGACAAAGCTGCCGAGAAGCCTAGGACGTTGAAGCTCAGCTCTGTCGCAGTGCACAAAGCGAGCCCTCCCATGACGGGGAGAAGAGACAGGTTTACAAGCAATCCTTTGTAGGGGGAAGGGGTTGATCGGAGAGGGAGGGGGAAGGAGGCAAAGAGGGGAAAAACAGATCCAAACAAAAACAGGTTAAAAAAATACACACTGTATTTTTAAAGGCAATAAATCAGGAAACGGCCATATTTCCAAAGCTGCTTAGCATTTGGTTATGTAAGCTCAGGGACCAGAGACTGGGCTGACCTGTTGAGATTTAGGATGGACAGATCAGGACAAACAGGAGGGAGCCCTTCTTCACACGTAGTATTTGATGCCCCAATGGCCTGGCTTGCAAGTGAATTTGGCTGGTGGCCTGGAGCCTTATCTCCCCTTATCCCCTTCTGGTTCCACCTGGGCAAAGTTTGACAGGTGGGCACATCCCAAAGACAGCAGGTGAGCCTTTCTCGCGTAGCACCATGCAAGGGGCTTCACAAGAGCTACCATTTCCAGAGTGGTGTAACAGACAATTCCCTGCTCCCAGGGAACTCTGGGAGTTGTAGCTGTATGAGGGGAATGGGGGCTCTTAACACATAGCTGTCAACTTTCCCCTTTTCTTGCGAGGAATCCTATTTGGAATAAGGGAATTTTCCTTTAAAAAGGGGAAACTTTGACAGCTATGTCTTAACACCTCTCAGCATCCTTAACAGAGTTCCCAGGATGCTTTGGAGGAAGCCATTACTGTTTATAGTGACGTGATACAGCTTTAAATGGATAGTGTAGATGTGGCCTAAGTTTCAGCAAGACTTACCTGTGTACTCTCCTAAAATCATGCGGGACATGATGACGGTAAAAATGGGGGCGGAGCTTTTCACTGTCTCAGCAAAGGAGACAGCTACGTTCTTCAGACTGACTAGGCCCAAGACCACAGTTGCAAACCTGAAAAGAGAAGAAGGGTAACTAAGTTTTAAATAACACAGTTTTATTTTGTTTTTGTGTGTGTGTTTATAAAAGCAAAACACCCATTCTCAGCTGCTTACAACATGTTTAGATATGCACACTTTCAGGGGGAAATGTATCTTTAGAAAGACATATTTTTGAGAAAATATATTCAGAATGACATATTTAAATAGGGACTGAAGTATGGATTCTCATGCAATTTTAAAAAGAAATTCACAGACTGACAAATGAACACATGCAAAAGTGAAGCAGACTCGAATCTGTTCATTCCAATGTGAGATATAAACAGCCACATTATTTCTCATATATATATATGTATATGTATATGTATATGTACATGAACAAATAAATAAATGACAAGCACCCCTCTCCTTCGGGGTCAGCAACCTCAGTCTTGCAGGCCAAATGTGGCCCTCCAGTCCTCTCTATCTGGCCTTCAGAACTCTCTTCAAGCATTTTTGCCTGGCCAGATTATGTCTTTTAACTCTCTTAATTCACAATGCCTTTTTTGTTGCCTGGGTGGAGGATGGGGGGGGGGGAGCTAGCTTAGCGGGGAAAGGTAAAAATTTACATGTGTTGCCCTGGCCACTTTTTTTAAAAAAAAAAACTTCTGGCCCCATCCACCCCTAGCATGGGGCCCTCAGAATGTTGCCCATAAGTGAATATGGCCTTTAGGATTAAAAACAACAACAACAAAATCCCCATTCTTGCTGCTCAGGTGGACATTCTCCTTTGCGTTGAAACAGAGGTCCAGATACAAGATCTGAGGTGAAAGAGTGTGTGTGACCTTTAGATTACTTTATTGCATTTTTTTTATTATTGATGAAAGATACCACCTCCTTTTTAGACACTGGGAAAAGGAACGGTGGTTTCCCCATCCCTGCGTTAGAAAAATTTCTAGCCGCTTCTTACCTCATCAGCCCGACAAACAACATGATCATGAGGAAGTTGGGAGGGTATGAGACGCGGGTCTTGTGTTGGTAGAGGCAGCAAGGGACGAACATTTTGACACAGCCGATGAAAGTGGTAGACAGCATCTGAACAGCGCCTGGGAGGATCAGAGCCAGAATGAGACAGATCCTTACCTCCCCCCGTTGCTCTCCCTCCCATTCAAAAAACCTGCATGTAAGGCTTGGTTATGCTCTATGATAAATATGGGGCTTGAACATTCAAACACCCCATAGACCCTTACTGTCATATTACTGTTTTGGTGGGGAGGGCTCAGTGGCACAGCATCTACTTCTCATGCAAAAGGCTCCACATTGAATCCCAGGCATCTCCATGTAGGGCTGGGGGAGACTCACAGAGCTTCAGTTCCTAGAGCGGTTTAATCACCAAGGCTTCTTCCCAGGGAATTCTGGGAATTGTAGCCCTGTGAGGGGAATTGGGGCCTCTTCAACGTCTCTCAGCACCCTTAACGAACTACAGCTCCCAGGATTCTCTGGGGGAGGCCATGAATGTTTAAATGCTGCTTTAAATATATAGTGCAGATGGGCTGTTGTCTGGATACAACTCAAGATATATATCCCACTGTTACTCAAACACACACAAATAAACCATGTATACTGGTTGCAACCATCAGCTTGCCACTTAAAAGAACAACAACACACACAAACACATGCATAAAGGTTTGCTCCAAACTATGTTAAGTCAGGCTGTAGTAGTACCATGGGCATCAAGTGAGCAGGCCTGCTTTAACTCCAGTCCTGCTGGTTTCAAAGGGAGTAAAAAGTTACTAACTTTGTCTAGATCCAACCCATTTTGTACACCAGGGATGGGGAACTGGTGTCCCCACAGATGCTGAAGGAGTCCCTCAGCCCCAGTCTGCACGGCCAACAGTCAGGGATGATGGGAGTTGTAGTGTGGCAAGATCTGGAGCTTCCCCACCCTGACCAAAACTTTGTATACAAGGTGTGGGGAACCTTTTGCCTTCCAGATGTTGCTGAACTGCAACCCTCAGGATGATGGGAGCTGTAGCTTGGCAACATCTGGAAGGCCAAAGGTTCCCCAGACCATTTTCACAGAGCCATAGGATCGTGGAACAGGTAGCTCACAACTTACGTGCATTTAACTTGGGTGCATTCAGCTGGACAAATATTAAAATTAAAAAGGGGGGGAGACGGGGTGGGTGTCTGAGAAAAAAGAGTTTAGCAATCCCACCTGCCATGGGACCTAAAGTGTTTTGACTATATGTGGTTGTGGCTTTGTGCCCTATTCCTGGAATGTAACCCCTGAGTAAGTTGAGAGACGCCTGCATTGTAGAGCAGGAAGGAACCCAAAAGGTCGTCTGGTTTGACCCCTGAAAGAAGAAGTAGTTACCCAGCATGCTCGGCTCCCCTTCTAGCAGCGAAAGGATGTACTTGTTAAGAAAAAGTGTGCAAAAGCTGAAGAAAAACCACAAGGTGAGGTAGATGAGTGCATGGGAGTTCCAGATGCCCAGGTCCGACTCAATGACAGTGGTTTCAGTGATGGTGATCTTCAAAACGTTCTCCTCCGGGACACTTTCGCTCCTGGCGATGACGTACTTCTCGTTCCGGGAATGGAAGAAGGAGCCGAGCTGGAAAAACCCTTTGCTTTTGGGCTTCTCCTCCAGGAGAGAAGAAGCGGCGGCGACACTGTCAGCATTCTCCAAATTCTGGACGCTTGCGAGGGAGGCCATCTTGAGGCCCCAAAACAACAGCTGGTTGTTTGGGCCCAGAGAACATTGGCCAAATGTGAAGCTCTGCTTAAGTGGGGAGAAAGGTTCAGTGCCTCCAGCAGTCCACACAGGCTATCCTCCAAAGTTGTTCTTGCTCACAGGGAACTTCAAGTGCTCTTTCCAGAGTACACTTCCATTCCCTACATTAAACAAATAAATATATATTTTAAAAAATCAATCAAAAAAATTTTTTTTAAAGAAACACCCCTCCTAAAATGTGTTCTTATAGTTGTACACTGGAATCTTTTCATAAAGGACGGTCTATAAAACTGAATAAATAAATAAGAAATAATAGTCCACAGTCAGTGTTGTACACTGGTTAGAGACCAGGGTTCAAATCCCCCACTAAGCCATGAAGCTCACTGGCAGTGTTAGATACTGGGATAGAAAAGCTAGGAGCCAAATGGCTTCTGGGACCTGGGTTGTGGGCGCCAAAACAGAATGTCTAGTCACCACTGGGGGCGGGGGTCAGCAACACTTTTTATTTACTATTTTCATAAGCATGAATTAATACGCAATTCACATAAGTGACACATTGTTAATATCACATTTTTAGCAGAAACCGTTAATACATGTTTCTTTTGGTGTTTACGATAAAAATATTGGTACCATAGTTCAGTTTTCAAAACACTCTACTCCTTATTGTTAAACTCCATTAAAATTTTCGAGATTCAGGTAGGTAGCCGTGGTGGTCTGACGCAGCTGAAATAAAAATTAAAAAAAAATAATAAATTGTCTAATAGCATCTTATAGACCAATGAAGTTTGTTCTGGTATAAGCTTTTGTGTGCATGCACACTTCTTCAGATACAAACTTAGTTGGTCTATAAGGTGCTACTAGATATCTTTTTATTTTTATTCCTTAACATATTGTCTATCTTTAACATATACCTCGAGGCTTCAAAGCACATCTGTTTCAGTAATCCTTGAGTGTCAGCCGGGCGCAAAAAAATGCCACCCAGACTTTTTGAGGAGAATCTTTAGGTGCAAAATGTGCCTGGCGCCCTGCTATTTTCAAACACTGCTCACTGGGTGCCCTTGGGCCAGCCAGGGCCTTTTGGCCTAACCTACCTCAAAAGTTTGCTGTGAGGATTAAACACAGAGGAAAGAGAACCATATATGCCACCATGTAAGGTGAGATATAAATGCATTAAATAATATGGATTCTCTTAAACTTCTCTGCTAAATCTGTGTTGATTTTCAGTTCCTCCCCCTAAAAAACACACACATTAAAATGCACACAATGGAAGTACCGTATTTTTCGCCCTATAAGACGCACTTTTTCCCCTCCAAAAATGAAGGGGAAATGTGTGTGCGTCTTATGGGGCGAATGCAGGCTTTCGCTGAAGCCTGGAGAGCGAGAGGTGTCGGTGCGCACCGACACCTCTCGCTCTCCAGGCTCCAGGAAGCTATCCGCAAGCATTGCACGCCGGGGCTGCGGAGGGTGGTGCGGAGCTGCCTGCGCTCTAGGGCTTCTTGCAGCTCCGCGCCACCCCCCGGATCCCGGCGCGAAGCCGCGGGGCTGCGGAGGGTGGCGCGGAGCTGCCTGCGCTCCTGGGCTTCTTGCAGCTCCGCGCCACCCCCCGGATCCCGGCGCGAAGCCGCGCGGGGCTGCAGAGGGTGGTACGGAGCTGCCTGCGCTCCAGGGCTTCTTGCAGCTCCGCGCCACCCCCCGGATCCCGGCGCGAAGCCGCGCAGGGCTCCGGAGGGTGGCACGGAGCTACCTGGGCTCCAGGGCTTCCTGCAGCTCTGCACCACCCTCTGGATCCTGGCGCGAAGCCGCGCGGGGCTCCGGAGGGTGGTGCGGAGCTGCCTGCGCTCCAGGGCTTCTTGCAGCTCCGCGCCACCCTCTGGATCCTGGCGCAAAGCCGTGCGGGGCTCCGGAGGGTAGCGCAGAGCTGCCTGCATCCCGAAGCCTGGTGCGCGCTGAAGAGCGCCCCCGGGCTTCACGCACCTCTCCGCAAGCCTGGGGAGACCAGTGTGGCTCCCTAGGCTTGCGGATATCAGGCTGTTCTGGGGGCTGGGGTCGGGGGAAGCTTGGGCTTCCCCTGCGCCTGCCCCGTGCCTGGGGAGGGGAAAATTTTTTTTTCTTTATTCTCCCCCCAAAAAATTAGGTGCGTCTTATGGGGCGGTGCGTCCTATGGGGCGAAAAATACAGTATTTGCCGTTGAGTTGTCATTCTTAGAAATGTTTTCAAAAATTCCAAGTAACGCTTCACAGCTGTTTGAACAGACTGGGCTATAACGCTATAAGTTTTACTCAAGAGTAGACCCACTGAAATTAATGGTCCTAAGGTGATCATACGCAAATTGGGCAGTGTGTTTAAATCACACTATCAGCATGACACTGTGCAAATATACACTTAAAAAGTACAATGGGGCTTCATGCAAGTTGAACATGTATAGAATTACAGCCTAAGATTTATTTCTTCAGCTGCTTACACACACCCAAATCAAATATTTCGGTTCAAATCCTGAAGGTAGTCGGCTGGAAAAGAAGCAACCCGTGAGTAAAGTGGAATTGGGACTTTAAAATATTTATTTCTGAATTCGGTACGACCGGGGTGTGTGTTAAAGGGAAGTCCGCACCCCCCCCATTGCAGACGATCTAAAGCAACAATAGAAGAACTAAGCTGGAGAGCCTACCCTTTGCGGGGTGAGTTAAAAAAGACATTAACTTCCAAGATTTGGTAAAAAGAAATTTTGAGCTGGAGTGAAAGAGTGGAATCTTAGAAGCTTTCTTTTTGTTGTGTACAACCCCCCTCCCGGGCCCGGGAGCGTCCTGTGTTTGAGCGTATGGAAGAGGAATACGGAGTTTGACAGCTGTCAAAAGCTGTCAAACGGACAATTTAAAGCTGAAAAAATTGTTATTTAAGATCCCTCTGGATTAAAATGAGTTACAATTGAACTAAAATCATTGGAAACAAAGAAACAATAACGAGTCAGAGGTTTGTTGGAGAAAGATTATTAAGTAACCAGATTCCCTCTAGGGGGAATTCTGTGATATTACAATGGCTGCGGATGGAAAGTTACTAGCGGAAATCGAAAGAATGTTTTACTTGGTGGGAATCTTACAAGAGCAGAGTCTGGCTATGAATAAACAACTCATGACCTTGACCTCTGGAATAAGCAGCTCTGCTGAATGTATTGAGGACTTGAATGAGAAAGAATCTGCAGCTGGATTAGAAATGATATCTCAAGAAGTGGAGGAGACTAAACAAGGAAAAGAGAAAGCAAAGATGGAAAGTACCAACCAGAAGTTTACACTAGTGGAGTACAAGCAAGGAGACTTTGGGATCACATTGATTACAAATCTGCGAAAGATGCAAAAGACGAAGGAGGAGGCCCCTGGAGTATATGGAATACAGGTATTTAAAACAAAGAAGAAATTTGATTGGGGCCCCCACTCTGACTCTGAAGATGCATGGCCTGTGGAACTTTTGCAGCAGTTGTTCCTAAATATCCTTGTGGGAAGAGAACCTGGTTTGATGGGGATAGAACTCCTTCGAGATTCGACGACCAACATAAAGGACTACCAACAAGACCGGCGGAGAGGGACTGAAAGAAACTTGAAAGCCTCGGACGTGAGGAATCCAGGCTAGAATGGTTATTTTGGACACGTATTGGGGAAGGGACGAAAACCGGGGATGGGAGGGAGGGAAGAATAGAACTTTAAAAACATTTATGACTTTTGGGTTTAGTTAATATGACTTTTATCTAATACAAAATGGGAAATCGATGGAAGGGAATTTGAGTCCAACTTAGGAAAAAAAACTTATTTTTTCATAAAAGATGTAATATTAAGATGGTAAAGAGGAGAAATAATAATTTGCTGACACAATTATGGGAATTGGGATGCATGAAGGGGGGTGGGGGGAAGTCAAGGAACAAGGTTAAGAAAGTAGGATTTTTTGAAACTATACATGTTCTTGTCTTTGTCTTTTTTGTGTTGGAAAATTAATAAAAATTATTTAAAAAAAATAAAAAAAAACAAATCCTGAAGGTAGTTGGCAGGGGAGCGTATTTTTGGGATGCAGGGCCTCTTGGGGGATTTGAAGCCTCTTGGAGAAACCCACAACAACATTTTAAAGCCGTTACACAGATCTCGTTCCAAGCGCCAGCTCAACAAAACCACAGCAGGTTGACTAAAACTGGCTTCTAGACAAATAAATCAAGAGGTAATGAAATATTTACCCTCTAACCTCCTCAGCAATTTTGCAAGAAGCTGGAAAATGGAACAGGGAAGACGGCTGCCATAAGAACTTTAACCAGTTGGCTGAGCTATTAAGTTGGCATCGAGACATATGCGGGGGAAGGAAAGAACACAGAACAAGCCAGTGATTATATGCCACGTATTTTGGAAATTCTTTCTCAGCCCCCAATCTCACTCTCTGCCAGAATGTATGTCTGCATTTTCAAAAACAACAAGGTCAAAACAATACTTTGTGGTCACTACAGCGGCAAAAAGACACTCATAACATTTCCCACTATTTACTGTATTTTTCGCCCTATAAGACACACTTTTTCCCCTCCAAAAATGAAAGGGAAATGTGTGTGCGTCCTATGGGGCGAATGCAGGCTTTCGCTGAAGCCTGGAGAGTGAGGGGGGTCGGTGCGCACCGACCCCTCTCGCTCTCCAGGCTTCAGGAAGCTATCCGCTAGCCGTGGGAGACCCAGCTCTCCCAGGGCTAGCGGAGACTTTGCTGGCACCCAGAAGCTTGGGGCGCGCTGAGCTCTGCACGCCCCAAGCTTCGGGATTAGCGCAGCGCTCCACTAGCCCTGGGAGAGCCACGGGGCTCTCCCACGGCTAGCGGAGACCTTGCCAGCACCTAAAAGCTTGGGGCGCGCTGAGCTCCGCACGCCCCAAGCTTCAGGATTAGTGCAGCGCTCCGCTAGCCGTGGGAGAGCCATGTGAAGTCGTGCAGCTCTCCCACGGCTAGCAGAGACCTTGCCAGCACCCAGAAGCTTGGGGCGCGCTGAGCTCCGCACGCCCCAAGCTTCGGGATTAGCGCAGTGGTCCGCTAGCCCTGGGAGAGCTGCGGGGCTCTCCCACGGCTAGCAGAGACCTTGCCAGCACCCAGAAGCTTGGGGCGCGCTGAGCTCCACACGCCCCAAGCTTCGGGATTAGCGCAGCGGTCCGCTAGCCATGGGAGAGCCCCGCGAAGTCGCGCGGCTCTCCCACGGCTAGCGGAGACCTTGCCGGCACCCAGAACCTTGGGGCGCGCTGAGCTCTGCACGCCCCAAGCTTCGGGATTAGCGCAGCGCACCTGGGGGGGAAATAATTTTTTCCCCTTTATTTCCCCCCAAAATAACTAGGTGCGTCCTATGGGCCGGTGCGTCCTATGGGGCGAAAAATACGGTAGGTACCTCGGAATAGAAATGGAGGTGGGTCAGAGAGAACCACACACAGAGAAAAATATTTGAAAGTTCTGTTAAAGGGCTCTCCACCCCATAAAGTGAGTGTGATGCGATCCTGCTGTGCGGTGGGCAGTGTGGCACAGTGGTTAGGGTGGTGGACTGGGGAGACCTGAGTTCAAATCCACCCCCCTGCTGGGCTGTGAAGTTAACGGTGTGACCTCAGGCAACAAGCCGCCAACTCTGAGCCAAACCTACCTCACAAGGTTGTTGTGAGTATAAAGGGGGGGGGGAGGACCATGCATGCCTCTTTGAGCTCCTTGAAGAAAAGGTGCGGTATAAATGTAATAAAGTAGTAAGAAATAAATGAAATGTGGGGGATAGCAATTGATTAAATTGTAAATTGCTTCAGGGTGTGCCATGGGAAGCAATTCATAAATTAAATGCACAATAGCTTATATTTTTGAAAGCTTATATTGTTGGAAGCAGTGTTTAAGGGGGCTTGACCCTAAAAAGGAACCAAGTAATAGTAGACTGGCCATATCTGTACAGTGGTACCTCGGGTTAAGTACTTAATTTTTTCCGGAGGTCCGTTCTTAACCTGAAACTGTTCTTAACCTGAAGCACCACTTTAGCTAATGGGGCCTCCTGCTGCCGCCGCGCTGCCGGAGCCCGATTTCTGTTCTCATCCTGAAGCAAAGTTCTTAACCTGAGGTAATATTTCTGGGTTAGCAGAGTCTGTAACCTGAAGCGTATGTAACTGCAGGTTCACTGTATATACTTTCCATACACCCACCTAGTTATTTAAAACAGTACAATATTACTTTAACAGTCATGGCTTCCCCCTGGGAACTGTAGTTCATAAAGGGTGCCGAGAGTTGTTAGGAGACCCCCGTTCCCTCACAGAGCTACGATTCTCAGAGTTGTTCTGGGAAGAGGGATTAACCCACTTCTGGTGAGCATAGTACAGTGGGACCTCCGGTTACAAACGTAATCGTTCTGGAGGTCCATTTGTAACCCCAAACTGCTCATAACATGAGGCGCGCTTTCGCCGCCGGCACATGACTTCGACTCGCATCCCGGGGCAAAGTTTGCAACAAGGGGCATCTACTTCCAGGTTAGCAGAGCTTGTAACCCGCAGCGTTCACAAGGAGGACGGTACGTAACACAAGATTCCACTGTGGGAAATAGATGTCCTGCCAACCTAGCAGTTTGAAAGCACGTAAAAGTGCAAGTAGATAAATAGGTACCGCACGGCGTTTCCGTGTGAAGCTGTACGCCGGCTCCCTCAGCCAATAAAGCGAGATGAGCGCCGCAACCCCAGAGTCAGTCACGACTAGACCTAATGGTCAGGGGTCCCTTTACCTTTTTAACAACTCTCAGAACCAGAAAAGATACAAAGTATGTTTGCCAAGAAGCAGCATAGCTGTTCAGAATAGGTGCATTTGCTATGTAATTGCAAGGCTTTCCTGTTTCGGGTGCAACAGAATCCAGCTTATTATATGGCTCAGGTGAATGGAAAAGGGTCGGCTGGTGGCAAGGTCCTTCAGAGGGCATTCTATCCCAAACCATCACTCAGACCACCCTATCCCAAAGCATCGTTTCAGATCAATGAGGACTCAGAATTCTAGTTATAGGCCTGTGAAGGTTCAGAATTCCAGGGAGAAACTTGTGATTGGTCAGAGGGTTCTGGCTGGAGTATACTGTATATAAGTCCTGGCAGTGAACTGTCTGGAGTCAGTCATTTGCCAGGGGGCGAAGAGCATGCAAAACCTAGGGGGAAGCCAAGGGAATCTCCAGGGGGACTACTCCAAGATAGCTGCTATTGGTCTAGCCAGAAGCTGACTATTAGCCTCAGGAAGCTGGAAGACTTCAGGTGAAGCAACCATGACATCTTTGATTGTGGCCAAGTTTAACCAGACGGAAGACTTCACCAAAAAGCTGAAGCAAATCTATGTGTAGTAGGCAGGACAGCTGAAAAGACTCTGCTTTACTACTACTACTACTACTACTACTACTACTACTAATAATAATAATAATAATAATTCATTATTTATACTCCCGCCCATCTGGCTGGGTTTCCCCAGCCACTCTGGGCGGCTCCCAACCAAATATTAAAAACACAATACAGCATTAAACATTAAAAACTTCCTTAAACAGGGCCTTCAGACGTCTTTTATCCTTTCTGTAGTCCCCTGACCTGAGGTAACTAGGGCAGGAGACCAGCAAAACTGGCTAGTAGCTTTGCTTCGCCTGCAAAGAATGAGGGCAACTCTATAGCCACCTCTTTTGAAGCAGCAATGATAAAATTTTAAGTATCAGTGTTCAAGCAACTGTATACTTTGAGCGACAGTGACCTATTTAAGGAAGAATCAAAGCCAAGAGCTGTTTACTTTGCAAGTAAATCTTACATTTAATTTTTTTTTTAAAGTATTTGGTACAATTCTGTGGGTCTGTTCATCTCCTCTATCCCACTACTATATGTAGTAGAAGGTTAAAGGAACAAGCTGCGATGGTATCCACAGTAAAGTAAAAAGTTAGGCAAAGCAGGTATATTTTCTTTAAACTGTATGAGGCAGGGAGCCTACGGGAGTTCATAAGAAATTGGTAGGATAGTAAACAGTGGCTAGGTCCAGCAGGTAAGATCCTGCACAAGCTCCTATTGCTGTTGTTTTCCCTTTTTCTTTTATAACTTACCTCAATGCTTTCCAGATTTATATTTAACTATAAGCTATTCCGAGAGCTATATGAAAAGTGTTCTTTAAAAAATAAAAAGTCTTTCTTTTGGTGCTCTGCTCTTAACTTTTTGTGCTGATAGCTCTTGCTGGTTTGCGTGATTTCTCGGGGGTGGGGTGCTTTCTACTTCACCTAATTTTGCGGGATGTTTTATCATCTACCATTTCATTGTGCAAGGAGCCTCCACAAGTTTAACAAAGAATAGGGTTGGGTCCAGAGTGACTAAGGTAGTTGAACTTGGTGTTTAGTGAAATCAGTTGAAGGTAAGTCATGAATCATTTGTCCCACTGATTTCGATGGTGCCCCTAGTTCAAATAACTTAGAAGATTTGACAAATATGCAGAGGCTAGGTCTATCCTAGTTCTGAATGAAGAACTGTGAGGCAGGTGCTGGGATTTTGTGGATGAGGTGGGAAGAGAAAGAGGAGTGCTTCAGAGAAGAGTTTTCTTTTTATCAAGAACAAGACGTCCAGAACTGCCACTGATATCAATGCTAAGATCTGTAACTTTTAAGATGTTCCATTTCCCACTCCCTCCCACTCATTTCCCCCTCATGCTTCAAATCTCTTTATATTGTAACCTGGGGGCAGAGACAGTCATTTTTGAAAGCCACTTTGAGAGACCCTTTGGATACAGGATGGGACAAACATGCTGTAAATCAATAAATAGCATTTAGCAACAGTTAGCTAAGCAGAACCTCCATGTACATGCATAGAACCACAAGGGAGCTACGTAGCTCTCATGCCCTGTTACAACAGGCCTCTGGCCACCCTCTGTTGGAAACGGGACACTTGGCTAGATGGGACTTTAACCTAATCCAACAGGGTGCTTATTAAGTAATGAGGAAGATTAGATAAAGTCATGATGGTAAAGGCAAGTCTATCAGCATTCAGTTAGTCACGATTTCTAAACAGACCTTCCATATGCAAAGGCCATTTTGCCTTTTTTTTCTTTCCTAATGGGACAGTTTCAACTTACACAATTCTCAGAGTCAGGGCATAGCCCCAGGCACACAATTTTTGAGGGGGCGTGAACCAGGCACCCCCATGCAGGTGACCCCAGCATAGCCCAGCATGCTGCTCCTTTCTACCCGCCAAGGGCCACATTGGCCAGCCGGGCTCCCCCCCCCCACCCCCATGTAGGCAGGCAGGAGGCACAGAGTGGCCCTGCTTTGCTCTGTCCAATCCTCACCGTGGCATCGCTGGCGAGGACTGGGCCAGTTCCCTCCCCCCCCCCGCCCTGCGCCCCTGCACGCACACGTGGCCCGGACACTGCCAACCAAGATTCCATCAATGCTGTCTCCCAAAAATTTTACATATCACTTGAGAAGACAGGCGAATTAATACCAGTGCACTGGAAGAAGCAAAGATCACCAGTGTCAAAGCAAGGATTCTTCAATATCAACTTCGTTGGATTAGTCATGTTGTTCAGGTGCCTGATTATCGTCTTCCAAAGCAACTACTCTATTCCCAACTTAAGAATGGAAAGTGTAATGCTGGTGGCCAACAAAAGAGGTTCAAGGACTCTCTCAAGGCAAATCTAAAAAAATGTATTATAAACACTGACAACTGGGAAACACTGGCCTGCAAGTGCTCCAATTGGAGAACAGCCTTTACCAAAGGTGCCATGGGCTTTGAAGACGCTCAAACTCAGGATGAAAGGGGGAAATGTGCTAAGAGGAAGGCACGTTTGGCAAAGCCTCACCAGGATTAACTCCCGCCCAGAAACCTATGTACCCACTGTGGAAGGATGTGTGGATCCAGAATTGGCCTCCACAGTCACTTACAGACTCACTGTTAAGACCGTGTTCATGGAAGACAGTCTTACTTAGCTACAAGTGATCGCCAAAGAAGAAGAAGAGGAACATGTAAAATGCAGAAAGTGTCAGATTTAAACTTGAAAGATCAGGGTTCACACTCAGTGACAAAGCTCTCTGATGATCTTCGACTATACACCCTATCATGGCCTAATCTACCTGACAGTAATAAATATTATTCTGTAACTAATCACACAGAGGCAATACTGATCCTGGAAAAAGCTTCCGGGTCTAATCCAGGCCAAATGAAGCTCTTGAAACTCAAGAAAAGCGACTGTCTTAGACTTCTTCCAGCAAACACCACCAAGAGTCTCATGACATGTTAAAGACTAACCAATTCTATTATGGCACGTGTCTTCTTTGGACTAGAGTCTTATTGAATCAGATGCATTGGGATTCAAGCCATAGCTGTAATTTAAATACACCTAAGTACAGAGAATGATAAGCAGTGATAGGGAACCTTTCTTAGCCTGAGGGCCATCTTCTCTACCAGGCAATCTTCCAAGGGCCACATGCCAGTGCTGGGCAGGGCCAGAGACAAAATAGTTGGAGCAGCAAATAAAATTATACCTTTTGTAGAAGACTAGTTTGTGCATGCATGCACACCTCCCCCTCCAGCCTCCATTCAGAAAAGCAAGAGGCACGGTCAGAGTTCCAGCCAGGCTGAAACACTTGGGTCACTGAGGGTTGTGGCCTGGGGAGAGTTTTGAGGCCTAGACAGAGATGCCTGGAGGGTCCCATTTGAGCTCAAGGCCTGAGTCCCCCCCAATCAATGGAGTCATATGAAAACAGTGGCGCCAAATGAGCACGGGACAAAAGAGGCCGAGCACCTAATAATTGTTTGCCAAGCTTAACTGACCGGCCGGCAGTGGCGGCTTTTGATCTTCCTGGATTTCTCTTTATCAATGTGATATGTCTACTGTTAACAATGCCTGCCTCCCCAGGACAAACGGGTCTGTTTCTATGCAAAAGAATAAGCAGCCACAGCTCTGACACCGGAAGCCTATTTGACACCAGAGGAACTGCAAAAGGAGACTCCAGGGTGAAATGACAATGGATCAAGAGGTTTGATTCTATTAGTTGAGGCCTGAATGGAGACACTGGTTTCCTGTCCCACTCGAAAGGCAAAGCTAGGGTGGCAGGCACAAATTACTGCTGTCCTGGAATGGTCGCTGTGCTTTCTCCTCATCCATTTCAGCTTCAGCTGAATGGTCAGGGGCTTATTGTTTGTTCTTCTTTCCTGCTGAAACCTGCCATTCACATTTTTCTGCACACCCATCTGTGCATCTATATTACTGCATTTGTATCCCACCTTTGTCCCCAATGAACTCAAGGTGGAGTCCATGGTTTCCCCCTCCTCACTTAATCCCCACAATAACCCTGTGAGGCAGGTCAGGCTGAGAGGCAGCAGCTGGCCCAAGCTCACCCAGTGATCCTCATGGCTAAGTGGGGGAGATTTGAACCCTGGTTACCCAGATCCTAGTCTGACACACTAAGCACTACACCACAACATCAGTGTGCTATTACGTACACACACACACACACACACACACACACACAGAGTGTGGATACAGGTACAGAGACACCTCTACATGATCTGGTGAAGTGCAAAAGAGTTCATGGCACAATTAATCATTTAGGCTGCATACCCACCTAACTTTTTAAAGCACACCCTGCAAGATTCCTGGGGAGCATAGTTTACCCCTCACAGAGCTCTTAACAACTTACAGTACCCGGGATTCTTTGGGAGGGGAAAAACTGTGTGTTAACCCTATTCTGTGTGCATGCAGCCTTACTTTAAGGCGCTAATTTCTGATTCAGTTCCAGGGTTAATTCAAAGACCCCCACTACAATACCGCCACTCCCAGCCTTTATTTCAACTGTATCTACCCCCCCTACCCTTGGAAGGGGGTGCGTGGGCGGGCTGGTGATCCCTGGTTCAGCCGATGAGAAATACACCCACCCGTACCCACTTCAATAGTTTGACCACTACATTCAGAGCTCCTGAGCCCTGGCAATAATTCAAAAAACATCCAGGCATCTCCCCGCCCCAAAATTAACAATTGCAAGATGCCGCGGCAGAACTAACCATTCAAAGAGACACACACAAACACGCACCGCGTTTCTGTGTTGAACCCACAAAACAATATATTGCAATCCCTGCAGCGCAGCCCTTGCGGGGGGGGGTGTGTGGATGTGGCGGCGCTAAGCTTTGCAAATGTCTCCAGCAACTTCCCAAATTTTTTTGGGGGGGGGTGGGGAGGGAATTACCCCCGCCATTGCAATGAAATCGCACAATGCTTGCCCCCCGACACACCCACCTGCCTGCGGTCCCGGACAATTCTTGCCTTCCCCTTCCGCAGCCATGATCACGGCCGCCTCCGCGGATGGAGAAGCCCCGCCTGGTCTGCAAAGGGCTCCTCCTCTGATCGGGCGGAGCAAGGTGTTGTGGGGAGTGAGAAAGAGATCTCAAGGTCCCCGGTTCGAGCCCCAAATCGGGCAAAAGATTCCTGGATTGCAGTGGGTTGGACTGGATGACCCTCGCGATCCCTTAACAACTCTGCGATTCTATGAATGCGATGAATACTTTACTTCTCAAGGTGACGGAGAGCGACTGGCACTTAGGACCAGGCTCCTTTGCCCGGCCCCAAACCTGACATCGCAAGGTGACTGTGCCTCAAGGCACGTGCAGAGCGCGACGAATTTCCCGGCATCTCTTTTCCAGGTTGCTGTCGTGAGAGATTTTGCAGCCAAAGATAACTAGCAAGCGTTATTTAATACAAGAAGGGGTAGCGATATAACAGAGTTGTAAGTTTCTAGAGACGACTCAGGTCACACACCCTCACCTTCGGGGAGGGAGGAAATAATGTTTTTTTCCTCCTTCTTTCTTTCTTTCGCCGCCATGAAGCTGAAATATTTCCAATAAGCAAGCAAACAAAATATGAGAAAATCCAAGTTTCTAGTCCACTTGAGGAAGTTCCCCACTTTCTTTACTCCAACCCAGGAATCAGGGATGAGGGGGAAGATGTGTGAATGTTGTGGCATACACAATATATTTAAAGGATCCCCATCCATAGCTGTCAACTTCCCTTTTTTTGCGGGAAATCCCCTTATTTCAGCGCTGTTTCCCGTTGCTTCCCACTGCTATCCTGGATTGTTAGATCCCCGGGACAGGTGATGCTGCTGATCCCTTATTTTTGGGGCTGCTGATCCCTTATTTTCAAATCTGAAAGTTGACAGCTATGCCCCCATCCTGCAAGAATGCTAGGAATTGTAGTTCATCCCTCACAGAGCAGCCTAAACAAATTAGTTTCCAGGAGGAAGGTGTAATTTAAATGCATGGGTGTCTGCACAGACACCCCCTCCCCCGTTCAGTTCCTATGGGCACTTCCAGCCTAAAGTCCCCCCCCCCCGCAAACCAGGACTGAGGAAACTGGCTCGCCTCTCAGAATGGTTCAGCTCTAGGCAACATGGTCAATGGTTAGGATTGACAGGAGTTGTAGTGCAATGACATTTGGAGGGCTACAGGCAAACGAAGTAGGGGTTGAATGGGGCTGATGTCCATTTATTCCAATGGGTCTGGAATAAAACAAAATGAGCCCAGCGTGCATCACTGTAAACTTTCTATCTCAGTAAATCCACTTTTTTTTAAAGCTATGGTTTTCCCAGTAGTGATGTATGGAAGTGAGAGCTGGACCATAAAGAAGGCCGATCCCTGAAGAATTGATGCTTTTGAATTCTGGTGCTGGAGGAGCCTCTTGAGAGTCCCATGGACTGCAAGAAGATCAAACCGATCCATTCTGAAGGAAATCAGCCCTGGGTGCTCACTGGAAGGACAGGTCCTGAAGCTGAGGCTCCAGTACTTTGGCCACCTCATGAGAAGAGAAGACTCCCTGGAAAAGACCCTGATGTTGGGAAAGATGGAGGGCACAAGGAGAAGGGGACGACAGAGGACAAGATGGTTGGACAGTGTTCTCGAACACGAAACAGCACGAGTCTGACCAAACTGCGGGAGGCAGTGGAAGACAGGAGTGCCTGGCGTGCTCTGGTCCAGGGGGTCACGAAGAGTCGGACACGACTAAACAACAACAAATCCACTTTCCAGTTAAAAGTGGAGGGTTTGCATCACACCAGGCACCTCTTCATCCATACGAAGCGATGACCAAAACGGCAACTTTTTTTTTTTTTAACCCCACTACAATAAAACATTTTAAAAGTGAAAGGGGGCTTTTTATTTTTTTTAAAAAACCAGGTCTCTGCTTTTTTTCTAGAAGTCCAAGTTGTACTTCCGTTTATGCGTCACTCTAAAATTTTATATCTCTACGGGCTCTACTCCTTTGAACTCCCAACGCGAAGTCCCTACATAAGAAGTGACAGTGAAGAGCGACGGAAGAGCAGCATACACTTCCTGTTTTTACCGGAAGTTTCACCGGTCTAGGACTTCGGCCAGTGTCTCTATGGCTTACCAGATCCCGAAAACGCGCCTGAGGCCTGGAAGCGGAGCTGGCGCCCGCTCGCTTCCCCGTCGGGCCATGTAACTGATTCTGTCGCCATGGAGCCTCCCGACACGAGGTAGTTGCCGCCGCCGGCGCCTCGCGGGGACCCGTAGCGAGCGCGAGGGGGGCGGGGGAGGGCGGCGGTTGGGTGCGAGGGTGGAGCTACCAGTCTGGACCTGAGAGTTCTCCTTCTGGCCCGCATTAAAGTGGTTGAAGTGTTGCAGGCACTGTGACGTCAGCGCCGCGTCACGTCGCGACCTCACCGCGACCGTTGACGTCACATTTCACACCACCACCACCAAACTTTGAATTCTGAAATGCTTTTTCTAAAAAAAAGAAAAGAAAAAAGCCCTTCAAATATTCTTAATTTGTTTTAAAAACGTATTTATTTCTTATTAAATTTATACAGATCCATGTAGTTACCTTGGTTGTTTTTTTAAAAAAGTGACCAATTGTGTAAATAAATAAATAAATAAATAAATAAATAAATAAATAAATGCAATGAATAAATGCAATAAAAGTAATAATTATATTTAGTATTAGAAGGTGCTCATGGAGGCATGCATGCTTCCCTCCATTTTATCTTCACAACAACCCAGTGAGGTAGTTTAGGCAAGAGAGATTGTCACCAGTCCAAAGTCATACATTGTGGCTTCGCTTTCAACCCTGCTATCCCAGGTCCTAATCCAACACTCTAACCATTACACCACACTGTGACATGGGGAAGGTTCCACCCTGGTTGCTTCTACTTCAGCAGCAAAAGAAGCTTAGCTTTCAGTTGAAATTTAGAAGTGCGGACAGGATGGGGGAAGAGATCGTGACATCCTTGAGCATGTCATTGTGGTCCAGATTTCCATGCAGCGGAAAAGCATGCATGTTCCTGCAGTCCTGACTCACAAAAGGAGCTGCCTCTGTTCTCGCACAACAACCTGTGGCGTCTGCAAGTATGCTTGTTATGCTAGCTAACAGCAAGGGCATCTTGGTGGGGATTCCCCCCCCCCATGCCCATGAGGTCTCCAATTCAAAAAATTGGAGCAGGAAGTTCAAACTGAAATCAGCTCAGTAAAAGACTGGCTGGGCAGGAGCCATGGTTTGTCAGAGGCTACCCAGTGAACCCAAAAACCTCACATCTGTACGCAAAACTTCCACTTAGCTTCACCTCCAGACATCCTTTCGTTGTTGTTCTCTCCCTCCAGGGTCCTCCTTTTCCCTTCGGAGGAGACACAAGATCCTCCCCTGCCAAATGAAGTTTTAACCTCTGTGGTGCCAAATCTAACCCCAAGACATCAAGACCTCATTCCTACCCCATGTGGCCCTGTAAGTATCTGAACCAATTGGTTTCCTGTTAGTTTCAGTTGCATTTATCATGCTTAGAGCTACACCTGGCCTTCTGCGTTTGTTGCAGAAATGACATATCCCTCTTTGGTTTTATCTCCTGCTTCTACCCCACCTCCTTTCTCTGTTTTCCATGTGACTTTTTTAAAAAGTCACTTGGGGCCGGGGACCTATCAAACCTCTGCTCTAAAAAAGCTTCATTTAGATAATAAAACCTAACATACGTAAATGTACATCATTCAGGAAACTTTGATTATTTTGAAAGCCTGAAAACAGAGCCTATTGGTGAAAAGCACTATGAAGTTTGCTTGATGGGTTTGCTGCCCTAAGCTGCTTCAGGAGGAAGGGCATGATATAGATCAGGGGTCGGCAAGGCTTACCTTGCCTAGGCCAGTTCACTGCCGCTGAGCCTCCTCCATGGGCTGGATCACGTGTGCGTGATCCCATGATTTCTGGTGTCTGCGTCTGTGCAGACACGATTTCTGGCGCTGCAAAAGTGAGTCCCCTGTGCCGGTTTAGTGCAGCACGGGGACTCGCTGAGTGGGCGGCTTGTGGGCCGGTAAAACGACCCCCATGGGCCGCTTGTGGTCCATGGGCCTTAGGTTGCCAACCCCTGATATAGATAGATAGATTTAATGAATGAATGAATAAAAACGGGGGGGGGGGACCACTTTGTCATTAACTACCATCTCTCAGGCTCACCCATTCCCCAGCTCCCAACTTTTATTTATTTAACAAAAATTATATACCACTTACAGTCATACCTCGGGTTACAGACGCTTCAGGTTGCGCATTTTCGGGTTGCGCACTGCACCAAACCCGGAAGTACCGGAATGGTGCTCGTGCATGCGCAAAAACATTAAATCGCGTTTTGCGCATGTGCAGAAGACCAAATCGCGACCTGCGCGTGCGCAGATGTGGTGCTGCAGTTGTGAACGTGCCTCCCGCACGGATCACATTCGCAACCCGAGCATCCACTGGAATTGGCAGTTGGCACAATAGATTCATTTAAAAATATTGATAAAAGCAATCCTTAAAAACCAGTTGACATAACATTTAACAAGCTATAAAGAAAACAAGCAGATTGAAAATAGATCTACCTGTTAAAATTACCTGCCTGGGTAGCCTTGCCTAAACAAATAAGTTTTACTCAGGCACAGGAAACAATACAGGGAAGGTCCCTGCCTGCTACGTATGACAAGGGAGTTCGAAAGAACACACCCTGCCAAAACAACACTGGATTATTTTGCAGGGCTGCTATGAAACCATGTAGCTTTTTTACCTAGCTGCAAAGCTGCTTAGAGGACATTTACATGCCTTTCTGATTGCAGATCAAACCTTGGTCGGAGCTGTCCTCTCCGGTCAAGATCTATTTCTGCGTCACCATCCTCTCCCTGTTGAGTGTCATCGGATTAACCATAGAGAACCTCGTTCAGCAGAAGGACGAAGACTTCACTGTCTCTCTCATTCAGCTGATTGGCGTTGGTAAGGAAGAGGGGACTCTACAGCAAAATGCCCGTTTTATGTTTTTGATGGGTGGGAAGAAGGGCTATATTTTGCAGAGGCCTCAGGTGAGGGGTAGGGGAGGAAATGTGTCTGTACATGGAAGCACACAAACACATACACACACATGATCCTTCTTAATGGAGGTTGTGCCGGCCTGACATTTTGCAGCCTCTGCAATCTAACCATACAACAAATGGCAGCATGTTTATAAGTCAAGAGTAGTGGAGGTCTGGTCCATTGGGGTGAGGGGAGCTGCCTTCAGCCAGCCCCCATTTGCCTGACTTCTTAGAACCACTCCAGCTGGTGGCATGAGCTGTCAACTTCCTCCTCCTAAGTCTCGGTATTAACCTTGTAGAACTGAGCAGGGAGGTGGATTAGGGCCAAATTATAATTAACCAGTTCTGCCTGTCATTGGCTTTGGCGCAGGTGGCGCTGTGGGTTAAACCACAGAGCCTAGGACTTGCCAATCAGAAGGTCGGCGGTTCGAATCTCCGCGATGGGGTGAGCTCCCGTTGCTTGGTCCCTGCTCCTGACAACCTAGCAGTTTGAAAGCACGTCAAACTGCAAGTAGATAAATAGGTACCGCTCCGACGGGAAGGTAAACGGTGTTTCCGTGTGCTGCTCTGGTTCACCAGAAGCAGCTTAGTCATGCTGGCCACATGACCCGGAAGCTGTACACCGGCTCCCTCGGCCAATAAAGCAAGATGAGCGCCGCAACCCCAGAGTCAGTCACAACTGAATCTAACTGAATCTAATCACAACTGAACCTTTACCTTTACCTTACTGTTGGCCTGCCTTTCACCCTACCAGTCCCAACAAGCACAAGCCACCGTTGGTCAAGAGATACATTTGGTAGAATCTTAGATTGTGGGGAGCTAAGCCCACTCAGTTCTGACCCCTAGACAAGTGAGAGGGAGGGAGGGAGGCTTTGCCCCACTCTCAACAAACGGAGGCTGATTGCTTTGTCCTATATAAGGCATGGGAACCAATAACTTATATAGGAATATATACAATAAATATAATCTATTAAAAAAGAGAGCTGCTGGATCAGAGCAAAGACCCCTCTAGAGGAAAATCTAATGGCTAACCAGATACATACCGGAAGCTGGCAAACAAGGCAGAAGGGAAGTAGCTCCCTCCTGCTGTTGCCTGAGCCACCAACTGAGTGTGTTGGACTGTGACCTGGGAGAACAGGGTTCGACTCCCCACTCAATGCCTCTCAGCCTAACCTACCTCACAGGGTTGTTGTGAGGATAAAATGGGGAGAACCATGTGACCACCTTGAGCTCCTTGGAGGGTAAGGTGGCATATAAATCTAATAAATAAATAACTTCCTGACTCCTTCAACTGTGGAGATAATTTCTTCAACAAATGGCATTATAGAGCAAAGCAGACTTCAGGTGTGCATGGAACTGAATGGGACAAGCTACTTTATTCTCTCCCAGACGCTATTAATCCTGCTTATTACCTGTTAATCCCACAGGAAAGAGCTGCTTTGCATGCAGAAGGTTCAATCTGTGGTCACTCTCTGCCAGAAACCCTGGAGAGTTGCTGCCAGTCAGTGTAGACAATACTGAGCTAAATGCACCAAGGGTCTGATTCAGTATAAGACAGCTCTCTATGCTCCTTTTGCATTCCTGCAATCGTTATAGCGTTTCCTGTTCACATCAGTGCCATGGCAGAGATCATTCACTTTCTGCAGGTGAAAAACTAAGGCCTAAGAAAATAACAATTGGTGCCCTTTGAGTCTCCACCCAAGCCCAATCTCCCAGGACTTTGGACCTTTTCTGTTTCCTGACCTCCATTGTCCTGGAACTGTGGGCAATACTACATACGGACTGTAGGTGGCGCCTCTAGCCCAACCATTTCCCTGATAGGAATCTGGTTAGGATTCCCCCCTCCCGCTTGCTACGTCCAAATCCAGCTGTCGAACTTCAAAACCCTAGTAGATAACCATTCCATTTTGAGTTTGGACATGGTTGTGAATTCTTGCACATACAAAGCCAAAACCACACAAACCATACATATCAGCAGGCTCAGGATAACTTGCTGGTTTGCAGGACTACGGTTTTAAAAAAATTTAAAAAATGCCGCAAGGCACAGAAACCCCCCCAGAATTGTCCAGTGAGTACTGAATGGCTACAGAATGCTGACCGACAGAGAAGAGAAAAACCGACAACCAAGCAAAATGGGGCATGGCAGCTGCAAAAGGAGACACATAGATATAAAAAGGCTAGAGAGAACCAACTCGGCGTGTGAAAAGGTTGTTTCCTGGTTCACACCGTGAAGCTCTTTTTAATGCCCCCCACCCACCCCAGACAGAGGTGAAACCTGCCCATAGAAATTAAAAGGTGACATTCAAGATTGTCATGTAGCTGGGCATTTATTTATTTTATTTTAAAAAAGGAGGAAGGAGAAAGAAACCCCAAACAACCCACTGTGGATTGTGCATGCTCAGTGGGCAGAGGGAAAAAGAAAACTGGGAGGGGGAATGGAACCCTGGGACAGAAGCACATCGCACTGCAACATTTTATTGCAGGCCCCCAGTTGGTGGTACCTATGGGAGGTATTATAGGGGACTTCCTACTCTTTCTAATTTTGGTGTTATGCCACCTCCCCACCCTCCATGGCAGCCGTTTTGTGACTGGCATCCCTCTCTCAAAATCCAAAATGTGCCTCTTGGTCCAAAAAGTTTGGCAACCGCTGATCTAGGGCCTTTTCCCATCTCTGTACCAGATGTGAGGAACCTTTGGCTCTCTAGACGTTGCTGAACAACAACTCCCACCATCTCTGCTTGTTGGCCACGCTAGTTGGGGGCTGCAGGGAGCTGTTGCTCAGCAACATGAGGAGAGCCCAAAGCTGCCCACCCGTGCTTTGTACCACTGCGCCCCATGGGCCCCTTTGAGCCAAGAACCACCTTGTGAGGCAAGCATGGAGCTGCGCAACACTACTGACACCCCCCTTTCCCCTGCCAACAGGTCCGCCACCTCCCTTTCCCCTCTCCTCCCTCGTGAACATCACACTACCTGCCTCATGTTCTCTAAGCAAACCATGAATCTGCCATGGCGCCCTTGACAAGGTTCATACTTCACAGGCGCTGCCCTCCTGAGATGTTTGGCAGTTGGAATATGAATGCCGGCAGGTTCTGAGGTTCCGATTGGTCAAAAACATCAGGTGCTGTTCAGTATTGGCACAGATTTTGGCAGGGCAGAGAAGAACGAGCCTGGCAGGGCCCATTGATAATAATAATCATTATTGTTACAAATTTAAATGGTTATATTTGTATCCTCCAATAGCTTATGGTGGTATTCCCCATTTCCCCATATAACCCTATCCCTTGGATATAATATTGAGGGCCCAGCCTAGACCCCGCTCCACCCATTTTATTTTTTTAAAAAAGAGACAGTGGCACAGGGTTAGAACACTTCTTCTAGCCCAAGGGCCACATTCCCTTATGGGGAACCTCCCGGGGGCCAGATGTCAGTGGCAGGTTGGGCCAGAGTGAAAAGTGGGCAGAGCATTGGGCATGACTTGGGGCACTGGGCCACACACACATCTCCAGGCATTCAGGGTACCTTATCACAGTTCAGTCACACTTTCCAGTGGGGCAAAAGCACACAGGCAGGGTGCATAGCAGGTTGGTTAGGGGTGTGGCCTGGGGACAGTTCTAAGGGCCAGGCAGAGAGTCCTCGGGGGCCACATTTGGCCGCCAGGCCCTGAGGTTCCTCACACCTCTGTTGCAAGACAAAAGTGCAATACCTTCTTTGAATGCAAAAGGCGTTGGGTTCAGTCCGGTTACAACGATCGGGCAGTAGGTAATGAAGAGGTCCCTGAGAACTTGGAGAAAGGAAGATACAAACATAAGGCACGACCAGCGGCTGAGGCCATTTGTGCTCCAACAACAATTCTGCATGTTCTCTGCCGAGAAAGGCTGGCTTCCCGAACCGAGAACAGTGAAGGCAGTAAAGTAACATCTGCACAATTTTCCTCCCATTTTGTACAGTTTCCATGGCACGCTACCTTGCGCAGTGTATTTTTGACTGACAAAATAAGGATAAAAATTAATTTCTGGTTTAGCTGATCCTGAGGACCGGGAAAGCAATGTGGTTCAGCAGCAGTTTTGGAGCACACCTGTGCAATCATGAGAATCAGAAATGTGGTCCTAAAGAGAGAGAAAGCCTATTAAAAACCCAAGACATTGAAATTCTCAGTCAACTTAAGTTCAGTGATGACCTTTTTGAGCTTTTCCTAAGACCCCGTGTATTTGCTATGCGTCTAGAAGCCTGACTGGGACAGTAGATAGCATAGATCACCTCAAAAAATAAAATACTAACAATATGGGCAGAGTATAGCTGCACCCTAAGAGCAGGCAATTGCCGCCATGGGTACTGTAAAATCATAAATAACCATAATGTTGGCTCTTGATGCTACCCAGGCTGAATGTTAATTACATTTCAAGAGATTTGTTATAAGCAATAATAAGATTAGGACTGATTTAATTTTGGCTGTGGCCATAGAAGGTAAACATTTCTTGTTCTTATCAACCGACAAGGTCTCATTCCCCACCCCCGTCCTTGAACAATTATCTCCAAAAATGGAGAGATAAGAGCTTGATATATAGAGAGGGTATCTCCAGTTATTAAGAACAAGAAATCTTGGTTAGTGCTCTTCTCATTTTCCCGAATGGGCCTCAAAAATCTCTTGCAGGTTTTCTGCACAAACTGTAAACAGAATAAGACCAAGATGATGATTTTTTGCAAACACAGTCCTAGGTATAAATGGTGTTTAAATCACCAAGCTATACAACAAGCCCTCTTATTTAGATACCTGGATTTACTCTTTAGTGAAACCCTCTCTTGGAAGTGTCATATGGAGGCATTGAAAGTCAAAGCACTAGGGCATTGATGAAGTTCTGTTACAATAAGGGAGGGCTGCTGATTGAACCTGCTATTTGGTTACTCTGATTCTAGGGCTCTGATTCAAACTTAATTAAAGTTATGGAAACTGCAAAATATTCACCCCCTCCGAAAGCTATGCTCTCTACCATCAGAACTATCAGCAACTCTTCTTCGCACAGAATCTGGGTGGCCAACAATTAAAGCGAGAGAGGACTGCACTCAGTTCATGTACTGTATATTAAAAGAATTGCTACTAAGCCAATCAAGCATTTCCCTGCACTGTGCTATATGGAGTTGGGCAATAACTAACTTGGTCCATCTATCTCAGTATTGCCCACACTGGCTGGCAGTGGCTCTTCAGGGTCCCAGGCAGGGAGTCTACCCATCCCTACAGAACCTGGGCTCTGAACCTAAGGTCCCCCACTGAGCTGGTCCTTTCCCAGTTTGCCAAGTCAGATATGTTTGCCTCCTACTCTGCCACCCTCAAAATCCCTTGCCGCATAGCAAGCTCGACTGCTCCTTACTCATTGTGGAAAAGAAAAAAAGAGACAGATAAGTCAGCCAATCCCCCTCCCTCCACCTTTAGCATTTGGTGAGTCCAGGGCTGGCCTTGCTCAGAAATACTCCTGCACAAAAACACCTTGCTTTCCTCCCTCTGTTTCTGCAACTGCCGGGCAGAGGCGTCTCGACAGAATCCCAATTGATAGGATCCCATTTGTCATCAGGTTTGGACACAGAAATGTCTCGACTTGAATGGCACAATCCAGAACCATTACTGTTGCCTCCTGTTCATTCTCTGCCCACTCCCCACCTAGGAAAACCACACCTTTAATTTTTCTAGGGTTCTCCGGAGATATTTGGGGTTGCAGCAGCCAATGGCTCCTAAGGCAATTTCTACCCTGGAAAGAGGGAGACAGAGGGTCTTTGTTGAATACAACCTAGTGCCTCTTTCAAGATAGTGCTAGCTTTTAAAAACACATTAAAAAGTTGTAAATCACTCGTGAGGACTGCAGGCTTTTGAAATGACCTCCCTGTTGCTCAGCCTCCACTCCCTGCCTTCAGAGCCAGGGAACAGCTCCCTCCTTCACAAGATGGTTGTTGGGAGGACAGGTGAGCCAATGAATGGATGTTTCCTCTACCCTGCAGATAAAAAAGCCTCATCAATCTAATCTAACTCTAAATATACATATTTTTTAAAAATGAAGAAATGCCTTCAAGGTTGACGTCAACCTTTAGCTTCCCCTTTCAGCTTGGAAGGCACCTTTTTCTCCCCTTCGCAGACGGCTGATGGCAGGATTTGTCTCTTTCCCCGACAGTCTTCTGCATCTACTACGTCAGCCGGGGCATCTTGCAAGAGAACCGCCAGGAGCTCATCGTCTTCGTCCTCTCCGTCGCGCTGGTCATGCTGCGCTCAGTCATCAACTTCAGCGTCCTGCCTGCCGAGCAGAAGCCCAAACTGCTCGTGAGTGGTCAGCGGTTGGGTCTTTGCCTTGAACCAAGGGCCTGGCGGGAGCTTCCTAGGTCGTGCAAGATCACTCTGGGGCCTGTTGTCAGCGTAGTTCAGGGTGGTGTGTGTTGTGATGTTCCTGCATCACCTTCTAACAAATCTCTTTCTCTGCTGCGCCCCGGTTTTAAGAAGATGGCTGCCCCCCTTTTAGAAGGATGCATAACTGGTTTGGAACCGAGAAGGGAGGGCAGAAATGTCAGCTGCCCAAAACCAGTACACTTCAGGCCCTTGCAGGTCACCTTTGACAGAGAGATAAACTTGCTCCCAAAGGGCTTGGGCATGGTGCATACTAGGAGAGGCAGCAGAGTACTTTATGATTCGGGAGAGGGCCAGTTCTGGACTTCCCCTCTCTTCAGAGCAGGCTCCAATTTTCCATCCGCGTGGAATTTGAATTCCTGCTTCTGTGCTGCTCAGATTGCATTGCTAAGGCCCCATCTGCACAGTACCTTTAAAGCAGCATCACAGCACTTTGAACAGCTGTGGCTTCCGTCAAAAGACTCCTGGGAGCTGTTTGGAGAGACCCTGGTCCCCTCGCAGAACTACAATTCCTGGGTGGGGGGTGTTGAACAGCCAGTCCCTCTGGGAATTGTAGATCTTTGATGGGGAACAGGGAGATCTCCTAACAATGCACAGCACCCATAACAAATGACACTTCCCAGAAGTCTTTGGGGGAAGCCACAACTCTTTAAAGAGGCACGGTGCTGCTTTATATGTGCAGTGCAGGTGAGACCTTACATGTAGAGCATCCTAGTGAATTCTGCCAGCTTGCGTCCTTCCTCTGCAACCTCTTGCCAAGCCATCAGCAGTATTCACACTTGTCTCCCTGTTTTCCTCGTCAAACACGTTGAATCTGGTGGAGGTTCTTCTGCTGCCGCAGGGGCGTGTGGTCCATTCTGACGGTCTTGCTTCCATTTTCCCTCCTAAGGCCCGCTTTGTCCTGATCCTTTTAGTCGGTGCCTTTGACGTGATCTGCGCCGTGGTCCTCATTCAGACCGAAAGCATGATGGCCTTCCGGGTGGGCGGGGCCTTGGAGAGCCTCCAGGCCCAATACTTCATGCTCAACCTCTGCTTTTCCATGCTGACCTTTGACCTCCAGGCTCAGGTAGGCCCAGGCCGCAGTCCAAACCGCGGCCTGAATCCCTTGGCCCGTCTGCTTCCCAACCATGCCTCCGGCGTTTCTCTCAACTGCTTTTCTGCAAGGTACACGCAAGGCAACTCGTATAAAAATAAAAAGCCGAGGAAACTGAGAGTTTTGTTAAACGTGTTTTTACAAAAAAGCATGTAGCGTGGGTGTTGCATCTTGCGTTTAACTCTGAGTAGGCCCACTGAAATCAGTGGACCTCAGGCATCAGTTTTCTTAAAATTGCAGAGCAGTTCTGAATGGTCGCTTGGAGGGGCTGAACCCTGAATAGCTGAATAGCTGAATAGCTAGTGTTCCTTCTAGCCTGGATAGCTCCATTGGCTAGAGCATGATGCTGATAAGGCAAGGTTGCAGGTTCGATCCCCTTATGGGACAACTGCATATTCCTGCACTGCGGAGGATTGGGCTAGATGAAACTCGGGGGCCCTTTCAATTCTACAATTCTATGAAAGACCCCAGCACAGGTCATGAAATGGCCTGCCTTTCTGGAAAGTGAGTGAGTTAACCAACACAACAGACCATGAGCTGCAAATGGTTAAGGGGCACAGGAAGGGGGCATCTGCAGCTGCTGCGACCTCTTAGTCTTCTCTTTTTGCCTTCCAGCTTTGCTTGTGCGTTCTGCTGCTCACCTCGATTCGGGAGATCTCAGTTCTGCACAGCATCTTCCTGGCGGTTGGGATTCTCTGGGCTGGGCTGAAAGTTGTCTGTGGCATCATTGCTGTGAGTGCGCCTCCCCTCCCCGCCCCCTTGATCAAATGGGCATTTCCTGGGGGTAAATCAAGGACATTTCCTCTAAGAAATGCTGGGCCCTGATTTATTTATTTTTTAGAAAGAGCAGCATTCTGTGCCAAAGCACTAACATAAATTGCAAAGTTCTGCAACTTGGCGTGAGCTATGTGAATTATGCGTCTGGCCCTTCAGATTCTAGCACATTCTTCGCAACCACGAGGGCTAGAAAGAAAAGATAGTGACAGTTCTGTGACGCTGGACTCTGCATCCTGAATCGGGTCCTGTTCTGTTTCTGAGGGATCCACAGAGCCATGGATACTGTCTTGCCAGATGCCAGAATCTGTTGTTACAGCTATATGGGGAAAGGGGCTGTCTTGTGTGCTAGTTGGGCTCCAAGCAGGTGCCTCTTCAGGTAGACACAGATGTGGCTCGACTGCATTTAGGCAAGGCCAAGGCCAGGAGAAATTCCCTGAACCAAGCACTGCCTGAAAGGGAGCTTTTGCTTCAGTGACTTGCAAAAGCCTTCTGCATGGTGGCCAGCCTAGTCTTGCAGCTCCAAGGAGCCACCTTCCCCCTTTTGAAGCGGGGACAGGGAACATTTTTCAGCCCAAGGGCCGCAATCCCTTCTGGGCAGCCTTCTGGGGGCCTCATGCCAATGGTGGGCGGGACTAGAAGCAAAAGGGGCGGGGCAACACTACCTTTGTGGAGTAGCTCAGGTACTACAAATGCCCATACCCACTTTTTCGGCTCCATATAGACAAGAAAGAGGCATGATCAGAGTTCAGGGACACATTTCAGGCAGGCAACACCACTCGGGGTCAGGGGAGAGTTCTGAGGGCCAGGTTGAGAGGGCTGGGGGCCACATTCAACTCCCAGACCGGAGGTCTCGCCCCCACTGCCTGAAAGTGCCATTGCCTTGTTCAGCTGCCGGTGGTTTCTCCAGCATGGGGGTGAGGGCTGGCTGGCTCTGAAGTGTCTGGGAAAGCCCACCTCTTGGCCTGGGAAGGAGGAGGAAGGCTCCTTGCTCAGATTGCCTCCTAGTTCTGCCACTGTTTTACCAGTAGGGGGAAGCAGGGTGGGGGGCTGCCCTAGCTCTGCCCCACGGCCTTTGGTGGGATGCTTATGATAACTCTTGAGACTACTTTGAGAGGAAGCTAGATGTATGTATAGCTAAAGCAGACCCAGCCAATGAATGTGCAGCTAACTCAGTTCATCCCCTCCACCTGTTTCCCAGATCTTAAAAGAGTTAAAACCTCTAGCCTGGATTTTTCTGAGTCAGAATTTGCCCGAGGTTGCTTATCTCGCCTACCTGATCTACACGGTAAGTCTTGCCAAGGGTTTTGTTGATTTAATGAGAAGGAAGGGCAGGGGGAATTCTTCCAGTCCTCAAGATGCTGATTGCTAGTGCAAGCAAGTTAAGCCCCTGGCTTGGCTGCCTTCATGTGGGCCCTTTTTCTGTAGGGGCTGTTCTGAAGGAAGGGCTGCATGTTCCCAGAGTGCAGGCAACTGGCCGTCTCGCCATGTAAAGTTGGGTTGTTTTAACGCTTTATTTTTAAGAAGAAAGGTTGCTAGCCCCTATGGTTTCAGGTCTAGGCTGTGTGGACAAATATGCAAAATCGAAGCAGCCAATACTGACTATCAACGTGATCCTAACTACTCTGGGACAAACCTGACATTTCAGATCCTGTATCCAGCCAAGTCCTCCTCAGAGGAGACCCATTGAACTGAATAGGCCTAGGTTAGCCAGGATCGTTAACTGCAGACGGCCTACCCTGAGTAAGACGGGCATTGGACCCAACTCCCGGTTTCTTTGTTAACATTTCGTATGTACCAGGAAACTGTGTTTTGTGCCTTATCTTTATGAGAAGGGAGAGGAGAGTGTACTAGCCGTTGGCTAATTCCCAGGCACTTAAGCCACAGTAGGTCCCACAGGACGGGGGGAAGTTGTGGGCTGCATCTGACCCTTACAGGGCCCCCACTCTGGGTTGCCTGGTGACTGCTGCTTGGAGCACGATTTACCTGAGGGAAGAAAACCCACAAGAATGGCTCTCCCTATGTACCTTCCTTCTCCTCAGCCTCTGTTTGGGGGCGGGCAATGTAGTCAACAGCACCAATCACAGCTAGGGGATGGGGACAGGGAGAAGCAGGAGAGGGAGAACTGACTAGTACACCAATCCTGTTGCTTCTTGGCTGTGCCCAGAGCCAATCAGCTGGCAGGGGGCACAGGGAGGATGCTGAGAGCTCAATGTACCATCAGGGCAAGTTTAGACCTCACAACTCTTTGTACAGAAGTTGCAGTGGGGCTGGGAGAAGAGTGAATGTGTGACTCTTACTCCACCACAACATGCATACTTTAGGGCTCAAAAAGGCTACCCACTGCAGGTTTAACATGAGCATCTGTCTTGGTCCAATAGACCCAACAACACCCAAAACTGTGGGGCTAATAAATTATTGTGCCCCCACTAACTGGGGTGTATGTGTGGCTTATTTGATCCAAAAGCCCCTGAGAAAAATGCACTACAGATGCCCATCCGATGCTGCTCCCACATTTGCAATGACTTTTGCTCGCCCTTGGAAGCGGTTAACTCAAGCCGGGCTCAGAACATTCCAGGATTGCGGCCAAACGCTCCCACGTCCCGCCATCGCCAGGCATCCGAGGGTTAGCGTCAGGGTGCTCAAAAGGCTTTTGAAATCCCTCTGTGTCAGGGCGCCCTGGGATTTTGCTTCCGGTCAAGGCAAAGCAGGGAAAATTCAGACACAGCAACAACCCTCTCTCTTTTTGAAAAATGCATCACAGAGACGGTCCTCAGGCAGCCAGCTCTGAACGTGTATCAGCAGGAATAAACAAGGGATTAGCGGGGAAGAGCCCCAGAAGTTTCACCCACAAGATCATTTCTCCGAAAGGCACAGAAGCCAGGAGGTCAGGGAGATTATGTATTTGAAGTGTTACCCCGCTTTTCAGCTGAAGGGACGGTCCCTGTCTTCGGCACGGTAGCATTAAGGTTTTGTGCTTGAGCTTGCTTTTCTCTCTTCCCTCCCCTTCCCTTTTTCCTTGCATGCTTTATGAGATTGTGAACGGGGGTGGGGTGGGGGGCAAGGAAGGGCCATCTTTGAGCTCGTTTTGGAAGCTGCTCAGAGAATCCTTTTGGCTGAAGCGGGGCAGGTTGGACCGGGTGACCCCCTCCCCTCCTTGCAACACCATCTGAGGAGTGGTGCAGTTGCACTGCTAGATTAACCGATAGTCTGTCTCATAAGGCAGACTCTTCTTTGGGTAACTCAGTGGTAGGGCATCTGTCTTGCAAGTGGAAGGTCCCAGGTTCAGTCCCCAGCACCTCCAGGTATGGCTGGGAGAGGTCTCCTGTCTAAAACCAGTTTCCGAAACTTGGGTCACCATCTATTATTGGACTACAATTCCCATCATCCCTGACTACTGGTCCTGCTACCTAGGGATGATGGGAGTTGTAGTCCAAAAACAGCTGAAGACCCAAGTTTGGGGAACCCTGATGTAGACAATACTGAGCTAGGCAGACCAGTTATTTGACTCTGAGTGCGGCAGCTCCCTTTGTTCCTGTGCCAGCCAACAGAAACTTAGCCCAGTCATGAGACTCCCATGATCCTTTGGGAACAGAGTTGGCATCTCATCGCTCCCCTAGGGAGCCATCATCTTGGCACTTAACACAACGGAAATGAATCCTGCTGTTTCAGAATGAATTGTTCACACACCAGCGGCTCGGATTGGTTGCTGCACCGAAACTGGAAAGCTTTTCGCTTTCTTCCGAGACAGAGGGGTGGTTGGTTTCTTGATGCTATAGCAGCAGCAGCAGCAGCAGCAAGGACTGCAATGCTTTTCAAAACCCGGCCATCTGACAGCTTCTTCTCTCGCCACAGCTGTGTGGAAAGCAGCAGGGCTTTATGGGAAAGGTCAAGCTGGCCTGGCTGGTTGGGAGGAAGGAGTGGGTTTGGGAGACGAGAAGGTCAGCGGAGGTGAAGGGATTGCAAGTCCAAGGTGGAAGTGAGAGAGACAACACAAGAGATTTTAGGGCATGGTGCTCTTGTTGGACTGCTGTCCCACGTTCCATTTTGCACTGCCATTAAAAACAAACAAAAAGCTAGAACAAATTTTTTTTTGGGGGGGATGTCATTAGTTTTCATAAATATGGGTCAAGCCAAGGGCCCATCTAGTCCAGCATCCTGTTCTCACAGTGGCTAACCAGTTGCCCATTCTAGGACACCTTCAATCAGGATCCGAGCGCAAGAGCCCTCTCCCTCTTCTGTGGCTTCCGGCAACTGTTCAGAAGCATTACAAGCACATCATGGCTAGTATCTTGTGACAGCCCTTTCCTCCATGAATTTATCTAATCCTCTTTTAAAGCCATCCAACTTGGTGCGTGTCTCCTGAGGGAGTGAGTTCCATAGTTTAACACTGTGTTGCATGAAGATGGACTTTCTTTTATTCATCCTGAATCTTTCATTATTCAGCTTCATTGGGTATTATAAGAGAGGGAGAAAAACTTTCCACTTTCCCCATGCCAATGAATGTGCAGCTAACTCAGTTCATCCCCTCCACCTGTTTCCCAGATCTTAAAAGAGTTAAAACCTCTAGCCTGGATTTTTCTGAGTCAGAATTTGCCCGAGGTTGCTTATCTCGCCTACCTGATCTACACGGTAAGTCTTGCCAAGGGTTTTGTTGATTTAATGAGAAGGAAGGGCAGGGGGAATTCTTCCAGTCCTCAAGATGCTGATTGCTAGTGCAAGCAAGTTAAGCCCCTGGCTTGGCTGCCTTCATGTGGGCCCTTTTTCTGTAGGGGCTGTTCTGAAGGAAGGGCTGCATGTTCCCAGAGTGCAGGCAACTGGCCGTCTCGCCATGTAAAGTTGGGTTGTTTTAACGCTTTATTTTTAAGAAGAAAGGTTGCTAGCCCCTATGGTTTCAGGTCTAGGCTGTGTGGACAAATATGCAAAATCGAAGCAGCCAATACTGACTATCAACGTGATCCTAACTACTCTGGGACAAACCTGACATTTCAGATCCTGTATCCAGCCAAGTCCTCCTCAGAGGAGACCCATTGAACTGAATAGGCCTAGGTTAGCCAGGATCGTTAACTGCAGACGGCCTACCCTGAGTAAGACGGGCATTGGACCCAACTCCCGGTTTCTTTGTTAACATTTCGTATGTACCAGGAAACTGTGTTTTGTGCCTTATCTTTATGAGAAGGGAGAGGAGAGTGTACTAGCCGTTGGCTAATTCCCAGGCACTTAAGCCACAGTAGGTCCCACAGGACGGGGGGAAGTTGTGGGCTGCATCTGACCCTTACAGGGCCCCCACTCTGGGTTGCCTGGTGACTGCTGCTTGGAGCACGATTTACCTGAGGGAAGAAAACCCACAAGAATGGCTCTCCCTATGTACCTTCCTTCTCCTCAGCCTCTGTTTGGGGGCGGGCAATGTAGTCAACAGCACCAATCACAGCTAGGGGATGGGGACAGGGAGAAGCAGGAGAGGGAGAACTGACTAGTACACCAATCCTGTTGCTTCTTGGCTGTGCCCAGAGCCAATCAGCTGGCAGGGGGCACAGGGAGGATGCTGAGAGCTCAATGTACCATCAGGGCAAGTTTAGACCTCACAACTCTTTGTACAGAAGTTGCAGTGGGGCTGGGAGAAGAGTGAATGTGTGACTCTTACTCCACCACAACATGCATACTTTAGGGCTCAAAAAGGCTACCCACTGCAGGTTTAACATGAGCATCTGTCTTGGTCCAATAGACCCAACAACACCCAAAACTGTGGGGCTAATAAATTATTGTGCCCCCACTAACTGGGGTGTATGTGTGGCTTATTTGATCCAAAAGCCCCTGAGAAAAATGCACTACAGATGCCCATCCGATGCTGCTCCCACATTTGCAATGACTTTTGCTCGCCCTTGGAAGCGGTTAACTCAAGCCGGGCTCAGAACATTCCAGGATTGCGGCCAAACGCTCCCACGTCCCGCCATCGCCAGGCATCCGAGGGTTAGCGTCAGGGTGCTCAAAAGGCTTTTGAAATCCCTCTGTGTCAGGGCGCCCTGGGATTTTGCTTCCGGTCAAGGCAAAGCAGGGAAAATTCAGACACAGCAACAACCCTCTCTCTTTTTGAAAAATGCATCACAGAGACGGTCCTCAGGCAGCCAGCTCTGAACGTGTATCAGCAGGAATAAACAAGGGATTAGCGGGGAAGAGCCCCAGAAGTTTCACCCACAAGATCATTTCTCCGAAAGGCACAGAAGCCAGGAGGTCAGGGAGATTATGTATTTGAAGTGTTACCCCGCTTTTCAGCTGAAGGGACGGTCCCTGTCTTCGGCACGGTAGCATTAAGGTTTTGTGCTTGAGCTTGCTTTTCTCTCTTCCCTCCCCTTCCCTTTTTCCTTGCATGCTTTATGAGATTGTGAACGGGGGTGGGGTGGGGGGCAAGGAAGGGCCATCTTTGAGCTCGTTTTGGAAGCTGCTCAGAGAATCCTTTTGGCTGAAGCGGGGCAGGTTGGACCGGGTGACCCCCTCCCCTCCTTGCAACACCATCTGAGGAGTGGTGGCAGTTGCACTGCTAGATTAACCGATAGTCTGTCTCATAAGGCAGACTCTTCTTTGGGTAACTCAGTGGTAGGGCATCTGTCTTGCAAGTGGAAGGTCCCAGGTTCAGTCCCCAGCACCTCCAGGTATGGCTGGGAGAGGTCTCCTGTCTAAAACCAGTTTCCGAAACTTGGGTCACCATCTATTATTGGACTACAATTCCCATCATCCCTGACTACTGGTCCTGCTACCTAGGGATGATGGGAGTTGTAGTCCAAAAACAGCTGAAGACCCAAGTTTGGGGAACCCTGATGTAGACAATACTGAGCTAGGCAGACCAGTTATTTGACTCTGAGTGCGGCAGCTCCCTTTGTTCCTGTGCCAGCCAACAGAAACTTAGCCCAGTCATGAGACTCCCATGATCCTTTGGGAACAGAGTTGGCATCTCATCGCTCCCCTAGGGAGCCATCATCTTGGCACTTAACACAACGGAAATGAATCCTGCTGTTTCAGAATGAATTGTTCACACACCAGCGGCTCGGATTGGTTGCTGCACCGAAACTGGAAAGCTTTTCGCTTTCTTCCGAGACAGAGGGGTGGTTGGTTTCTTGATGCTATAGCAGCAGCAGCAGCAGCAGCAAGGACTGCAATGCTTTTCAAAACCCGGCCATCTGACAGCTTCTTCTCTCGCCACAGCTGTGTGGAAAGCAGCAGGGCTTTATGGGAAAGGTCAAGCTGGCCTGGCTGGTTGGGAGGAAGGAGTGGGTTTGGGAGACGAGAAGGTCAGCGGAGGTGAAGGGATTGCAAGTCCAAGGTGGAAGTGAGAGAGACAACACAAGAGATTTTAGGGCATGGTGCTCTTGTTGGACTGCTGTCCCACGTTCCATTTTGCACTGCCATTAAAAACAAACAAAAAGCTAGAACAAATTTTTTTTGGGGGGGATGTCATTAGTTTTCATAAATATGGGTCAAGCCAAGGGCCCATCTAGTCCAGCATCCTGTTCTCACAGTGGCTAACCAGTTGCCCATTCTAGGACACCTTCAATCAGGATCCGAGCGCAAGAGCCCTCTCCCTCTTCTGTGGCTTCCGGCAACTGTTCAGAAGCATTACAAGCACATCATGGCTAGTATCTTGTGACAGCCCTTTCCTCCATGAATTTATCTAATCCTCTTTTAAAGCCATCCAACTTGGTGCGTGTCTCCTGAGGGAGTGAGTTCCATAGTTTAACACTGTGTTGCATGAAGATGGACTTTCTTTTATTCATCCTGAATCTTTCATTATTCAGCTTCATTGGGTATTATAAGAGAGGGAGAAAAACTTTCCACTTTCCCCATGCCATGCATAATGTTATAAACTTCTATTTTGTCGCTTCTTACTTGCATTTTCTCTAAGCTAAAAAGTATAAAATGCAGCAGCCTTTCCTGGTAGGAGAGTTGCCCCATCCTTTTCTGAATCTTTTTCCCACTCAACAATATCTTTTTTGGAATTGAGGCAACCAGAACTATACACCCTTCCCTTCCCTTTCCTTTTCCCTTTCCTTTTTCCCTTCCTTCTTCCCTTCCCTGTCTGCTCTCAGTTGCTGTCAGTAATAAGATTTAAAATTCTTCCCAGGAATTTCCATGTTTTCTCCTGAGCCTTACGTACTTACTTACTTGCTTGCTTGTTTATTTACTTATGACATTCAAACTCCACCCGTTAGCCTGAAAACGCTCCGAGTGGCTTACAAAGTCCTGAGACTGCACTCAGGCTCGCAATCCTTTAAAAAAGAAGATAAAGACATAGCACATGAGGAAAAAGGAAGGGGAGGGAGGAGGAGATAGCAAGCTCAAGCCTGAGTTCTTAGAAATTACAGCCAATTTCAGCGGCAGTTCTGGCTGTCTTGCTGCCTGCCCCCTCGAAACATGCTTCCATCCCAGATCAGGTCCAGGAGCAGAGTCAGTGACAAGGTCCAGGCTAGGAAGAGGGGACAGCTCCTCCCATTCCTGCTGTATCCATACGTGCTGGCAGTAGCTCTGGAAGGGGCCAGAGCTCAGTGGCAGAGCAGCTGCTTATCCCCTGCATTTCTGGGCTGGGCTGCGAAGGACCCCTGTCTCAAAACCATGGAGATCTGCCACTAGTCACTGAGTCACCTGGACCCAATAGTCTGACTTGGTGGAAGGCAGCTTCCTATGTTAAGGAAAAGCCCTAGCTCAGTCATGGGGGGGGAGGGGGACTCCTGCCTGAAAGCCACTGCCAGTCACTGTGGACAGTCCTGAGCTAGGCAGCCCAATGGCCTGACCGAGGACCAGCTGGCTTCCCATGTTATTCATTACATATGTATTCTGCCCCTCTTCTAAGGAGAAATCTATTTTGTTCTCATGACAATCCTGTGAGATAGGATAGACCGAGGAAGAGTGCTGAGTGGAGATTTGAACCTCTCTCTCTTCTGATCAACACTCTTAACCACAGTGCCACACTAGCAAAATGTTTCTGTCTCCTCTGGCATTGCAAATTGCCCCAGAGCCTGTCTTCTAGATTTTTTTATGCTCACTTCTTGCGGGGGCCTCCATCGCTTCTCTTCTTCCTTCCCAAGCATCACTTCTCCTGCAGGTGCATCATTTCGCCCCCGGCTGCAACATTGGGTAGATGGGACAATTGTCCATCCTGCCCATTGCACTCCTTTCATTTCTCTGTCTGAACATGTGATTTCTTTAAGTGGAATGTGCTTTCTTCCCAGGTGATCGAAGAGTGGGGACAAGGGAGTTCCTATGCACTGGAAGCAGCTGTCATCACCTGTTCCTGCATCTCTGTGATGATCAAAAGTGTCCTGTTCTGGGCGTTGTTCCATGTCTACCACAGTTTTGGGCAAGGGCTGAGAGAAAGGAGTGAGTATCGGAGGAGATTAATCCAGGGGGAGTAAAAACAGACGGACACGTACATAGAAAGCCCAGAGAATTCGGGGATTGAAGGCAATGGGAGCGGGATGGATCAATCATGTCCAGCTCATGGGTTTCACTGGAGCATCTGGCTGGGCAGAGTGAAAAGAACTCTCATATTAAGCAGCTGGCATGTATTTATTTAAAGCATTTTACCCTGCTCTGCAGCTAGGGTGGATGTGTGGGAGGAGAAGGCTCCCAGAGCAGTTTCCAAAACTCAGCAGTAAGATAAATTCTGCCCTCAAGTTTATAATCTAAAAGGCATGACAGAAAAGGAAAAGGGATTGGGAGGGAGGAGGAGGAAGGCAAATTCAGGCTGGAGGTCGTACAGAGGTTTTAGTAGTGATTAGCTGGAATGGACATGGGTGGTGCTGTGGGTTAAACCACAGAGCCTAGGGCTTGCCAGTTAGAAAGTCAGTGGTTCAAATCCCCGCAACAGGGTGAGCTCCCGTTGCTCGGTCCCTGCTCCTGCCAACCTAGCAGTTCAAAAGTACAAAGTGCAAGTAGATAAATAGGTACTGCCCTGGCGGGAAGGTAAATGGCGTTTCCGTGCGCTGCTCTGGTTCGCCAGAAGCGGCTTAGTCATGCTGGCCACATGACCCGGAAGCTGTATGCCGGCTCCCTTGGCCAATAAAGCGAGGTGAGCGCCACAACCCCAGAGTCGTCCGCGACTGGACCTAATGGTCAGGGGTCCCTTTACCTTTTTTAGCTGGAATGGAAGAGAGCTCAAGGAAAGGAGAAGTGGAGGAGTGAAACTTATTCTTATTTATTAAATTTCTATACCACCCTTCATCCGAAGATCACAGCGCAGTTTACAAAAACGATACCTTAATAACAGAAACAATAACCCCCTGTACAAAGGTTAAAAGGCCACAGATTGTTTAATTTGCCAACGCCTGGTAGAAGAGGAATGTTTTTGCCTGGCGCCTAACGATATGCAGTGAAGGTGCCAGGCAAGCCTCCTTGGGGAAAGCATTCCACAAGTGGGGAGCCACCACAGAAGAGGCTCATTCTCGTGTTGCTGCCCTCCAGACCTCGTGGAGCAGGCACATGAAGAGTGCAGGGTCTGGGTTGGTTCATATGGAGAGAGGCGGTCCTTGAGGTATTGCAGTCCTGTGCCGTTTTAAGACTTTGTAGGTCAAAACCAGCACTTTTGAGTGGGGCCCAGAAACCAAATGGCAGCCAGTGCAGTCGGTTGCTGGTCTCTCCACTGAAGTTGATGTAGTAGCCCTGCTTCCCATCTCTCTCCCTCTGATGCAGCCTCCTGGAAAGGCTGGCAACAGAGAGGAACCTGATGGAGCCAGCAGAGCTGATGGAGAGATTCTGCAGTGCTCTCTTCCTCACCCTCTGCTATAGCCTGATGGACTGCTAGCTGCTCCTGGACACTTGAGGAAGGAGCCTCATTTAGCCCATCCAAATGGCGGAGACTGCATGCTGATTGATAGAGAGGGCCACCAATCAGCACAAAACTCCCGCTGCTTTCTGTGCGCCTTCCCTGCAGCATCAGTGCAGTGTGTATTTCCAAGGTGGCTACAGAAGGAGCTGCCTGGCATACTGGCCAGCTAGCCAGGATGACTTTGTGATGCCTCCACCGTCAGAGGCAGTATGCCTCTGAATCCCAGTTGCCTGGGAATTGCAAGGAGGGAGAGTCGCTGTTGCTGCTGGTGGGCTTCCCATTGAGCCACCGTGAGAACAGGATGCCGAAGCAGATGAGCCACTGGCCTGATCCTGCAAGCTCTTTAACGTTCTTTAAAAAACGGCGAGATTCTTCCTATCATTTACCGCGACTCCTTTCCCCACCTCTGCAGTGTTTTCTTCCTATGGAAGGATTGACTCGTGAAGCACGATGCCTTCTCCAGGTACGGGGCGGCACTCTTACAAAGTGAAGGTGTGCTGCGGGAGATCAGTTCCCTTCTCCGACCCAAGAAAGTGGGGCCCCGAAAGGCAGGTCGTAGCAGGAGCAGCTTGACCACAGTTCAACAGAAGACGTTTGCACAACCCTCCACCTCCTGGGGCTTGCTGCGGGAACTCTGCTCCGTCAAGTTTGAGTCCTTTTGCCAAACAGCTCCTGCATGCAGCAACCCCGTCAAGATTCCTCCGGTGTGTTTGTTTGTTTACGCTAGATACCACTTCACCCATTACCCTGCCTTCGAAACAGCTGCCACGACGACCCCCTCCTGCCGTGGCTTGCCTCCCAAGGGTGAGTGTTGCCGACGGACCATTCATTTGGTGCTTTCTTCCTCGAGCGCAGTCCTGCACCTAGATTAGCTTAGGGCACTGCAAACCTGGCGGGGAGGGCCTAGGCGACAGGGCCAGCACCGTCCGCCCTCATTTGCCGTATTTCACTGCCGAGAGCCTCATCCTGGCAAACGAGGAGCTGACAGTCCTCCCAAGTTTTATCTGTTTTAAGATGACAGCCCCATCCAATGAAATTTATGCCTCCCACATAAGAACCAAAGATTAGAAATCTAGCGGAAGGGAAATGCAGGCAGCTTGATGCTTTCGTGGGCTGCTTAAAAAGTTGCGCGAGGACCACATGCAGCCTTCGGGACGCACCACCTCTAGATGTTCTGGACTGCAGTTCCCATCAGCACCAGGCACCGCTGGCTGGGGCTGATGGGAGTTGTAGTCCAAAACATCTTGTGGGCACAAGCTCAGCAAAGGCCGCTCGAAACCCAGCGCCTCTGCGGTTGCAAAGCCATCTTGCCTGCCATTAACCCAAATCCAAATGGGTGTGTTTGGTTTGAAACTGGAAGTACGGCTCAAACTGCAGAACCACCGTGACCCCTCTGGCCAGCCACAGCCCCATCTAGCCTATAACCTATAGCCCTGGCAGAACAACACCCAAATACTGATGCTGGTGTGTGCTGAAGTTACCTGGTGGGTTCTGTGCTGCTGAAGACCTTCACGGTGGCAAGACACACTGTTTTTACTTGTCTTGGCACTCTTGGCCTCTGGTCCCATCCCTTTGGTGGATGGCCGAGGGCCTGTGAAACAGGAGAAGCTCAAGTTCCATTTTTGCCCCAGGAAGAGTGGCTGATTCAGCACCCTCAGAATAGTTGATGATTTGGGGCAAAGGGAAGGCACCTTCCCCAAAGGTCACATGGAGAAGGGCTGCCCCCCACCCCAGCCAACTCCAGAATCTGACTCCAAGGAGTATGTCTGTGCCTTAAAACAGGAGAGAGATTCAGACAGGCATGAGGAACCTGCAGCTCCCCAGACGTTGCTGCCCAGTGCCTCCCATCCCTGACCAACAGCATCTGGAAGGTGGCACTAAAGCTGCTGTGTGGGGAAGCTCTGGCCCGCCAGCTGTGCCAAATTCCCGGCTCCCATCAGACCAGCTTGCATGTCCAGTGGGAGTTGTAGTTCAGCAAACAACCAGAGGCTTCCCCACACACCTGCGCCAAAGCAAGAGGTGAGCAGCTTGTGGCAGTTCCCCATATGTTCAACTACAGCTCTCAACAGCCCTGACTGTTAGCTGGGGCTATTGAGTGTTGCGAGAACAATGGGGGGCAGGTCCCACAGGTTTCTCCATGTCTTTGCTAATCCTACCCCACCCTGGAAATGTTTGGCCTACAGAGAGCTCTCCTTCCACACAGGGCTCTCAAGAAGACTGGAGCAGCATGGCCAGCTTGACGCTGGCCCCAGTCTTCCTGTTGGCTTAATAGGCCCCCCTAGAGGCCCTTGTGGGCTTGTCTACCCCACTTTCCTCGGAAAGACAGCCGATCACACATCAGTCCTCAGTGATGGGAGTCTGCACAGAACAAAACCTGCAGTGCTACAAGGGGAAGGCAGACCCTCCCCAAGCCCCACGGAGGCACAGGCTGTGTTTTTGCCCCTTTAGGGAAACCATGCACCCGGAGCTGGGTGTCTTGGTGCCTGCGAGATGCTTTGCCTTGGAAGCCTTTGTTTCAAGGACAGCCTTTGCCAACCTGGTTCCCTCTAGATGTTCTGGCCTACAACCCCCAGCTGGGCTGGCTGGGGCTGATAGGAGTTGTAGCCCAGAACATTTGGAGGGCACCAAGTTGTGTGTGTGTGTGTGTGTCTGTGGGACACTTTCCTTGAAGCTGCCCACAAGCTGCTTGGACAGTGCTTCCACATCCCACTGGCTAAAGCTTCAGCAATTTGCTTCCGTCGGTATTCGTGTGGCTGACTTCTTGCTAAATCCCAAATAATTTCTCTGCCTCCTAACCTGATTCCTTCCCCTCACACCCTAAATTATTATTTTGGTCCTAATTTTTCAAACTAACCAAGCCTATGTGAGTGTCTTAACTGATGCGCTTTTCAACAGCAGTGAGGGTGGTTTTTTTAAATTAAGGAAAAAGAATGTTTAATACAGTAATTCAAAGCTTTGTTAATTTATTAAGAGGTTTGTTACTGGCCTTGTATTTTTCAATAAAGTGTCAATGCCACCAATTGGGGGGGTTGTTTGTTTTTCAACGATGCCTATCCAAAAAGGAAGCAATTTAAAAAAAGGAAAATATTAAATTTGCACATAGTGAGATTACATACTGCCCATTACTTTCATTGTTAGTTGCCAGGCAGTGGGGTTTGCTCAATCCTTGTTTGCCTCCATCGACTTGGTTCTTGTTGAAAGCCAACGAGCTGCGTAGAAAAAATCTCCTCCCTTCCCATTCCACAAAAAAGATTGCAGTTTATTTATTTTTAAGAGTTCTTTCCACATCTCTCCTTTCTATTTACTTTGCTCCCGTCTGTTATATCTCAACCACCAACAACTCTGCACAAACATCGCCCTTTAGAAGGAACACCATGGCATACTTGTGACAAAACGAACAATTATCCGTCTTTTGGAAGGATAACTTTTCCTCAATGGACAGTGGGAAGAGAAGTACTGTAGCGCTCTCATTCCCAACCCATGTCCCCTGTAGTATTTCCACTTCCCCTTAACCTTTCAAAATGGTGGCACTCCCGCCAGCTGTTAACTCTCATGAGAGCTTCCGCTTACAAGAAAAATGGCCGCCAACAGGATTAGCTTTGAGTGGGCAAATTCATGAAGGGTAAGGCTTTCAGTGGCTATTAGCAATGATGGTTATGTTCTGGTCAGAGGCAGTAAAGTTTCTGAATACCAGTTGGTGGAAAACGCAGGAAAGGAGAGCACTCTTTTACTACACAGGCATCTGATTGGCCACTGTGAGAACAGGATGCTGGAATAGGTGGCTCATTGGCTTAATCCAGCATATTCCTCTTATGCTCTCTAGTTTCCATGGTGCTTCTCAACCCAGAGATAGCCCATGTGGTTGTTCATGCCTGACGACTGGCCATGGTGGCAAAGGATGATGGGAAGTTGGGAGCCCAGCACATTTGAAGGGCAGATTGGTTCACCGTTGCTGAAAACATGAAAGCAGGTGGGACATTAAGAGGACTGATGCAGTAGGTCCAGTCTTGAGCTCTCTCTCCCCTTCCACAAACCTCTGAGATTAGCCAAGACATAACTCTTACTTCCTTTACTTGTGGGCCCCCTGCAACAAGGCACTGTGTTTTAATGCCTTGCAAAGAGCAAAAAAAATTATTTTAAAAAATGCTACGGCACAAACACCAACTTTGGAAAAAAAATGGTTTATTGAAAAGGTCTGGAAAATAGTTTTGCTCTCTCAGCAATATTTAACAAGTCTTTTTCAAAGCAGTAACAATATGAAACGTTAGGCTTTTTTATTTTTTCCTTTATAAAGTTCAGAACTGTGGGCGGTATGCCATGTCATCAACACTTTTAAAGTTTTGAGTAAAACAAGGCTTGCCTCTTTGGAGGGGCGGGGGACCTCTGACACACAATGAATGAACCACATCAGGCCTACTCCAGGGCTAGGGAACCTGTGGACCTCCTGGTGTTATTAGACTGCCAGAATTGTACCCAACGAGATTAATGACCTTGACAAATTTGGGTTCAAGGGGTCCCCCTGCCTCAGCCAGCAAGGCCAATAGTTGGGGACGATGGGAGGTGGGATTCTAGCAGCATCTGTGGGACTGTGTATTCCCTGACATCCTCCCCCCACCCTACGCTGTCACCAGCCTGCCACTCTGTCTCCCTTCTCTGCTACACCCAACAAGGCTGCCATGTTTTAGGCCTGGAATGGGCACCTATGCAAAGCTCTGTAAAGGAAAAGGAGCAGGTTTAGGCCAGGGATGTCACCAGGTCTTCCAAGCAGAAGTCACACAAGACAAGTGGGGAACCTATTGGATTGGTGGATGATCAGACCTGTTCACACACACACACACACCAACATTTTAACTAACGCTGAATTAAAGCCAAAGCCAAGGACCTCTTTGGAGATCCAACCAACATACCATATTCTCAGCACACCTACTTATTTCTGCAATGCAGAAGGGACCCAAGGTCCCTTCCAACTCTGAAATGATTCTACGGTGACTCCCTGTGAACAGTCCCCTCGCCTGACTGTACTTCCACCTTCCCATCCTGCAACTTTCCTGGCAAGCTGATCTATCGGTTCACCATTCTGCTAGCTGCTTGTTTTTACTCATCGAACCTGCCCGTAAAGGGGTGGTGGGCAGGGAGAGATGGAGATTTAAACACCTAGCGGAACAAAAACAAGCCAAAAAAACCCACCAGCTACTTAGCTGAAACAAGAACCCAGAATGCAGGAAGGCGGTGTTTGTTGACCTCAGTTTTGGTGCTTCCTTGAGAGGACAGTGTTGAGGAGGGGTTGTAATAAGGAGAACCTAGCTTTTAACTTCTCCTGCTCTCTCCTTGCCTAGGCCTTCCGCTTACTCATTTTCTCAGCCTAGAAAACGGGGCTTTAATATTCCCCACGGCAGGTAGCCTGTAGAATGAAGCTCTGCGCAACCGCCAACCTTCGGCAGATTGTCTGTTCCCCAGGAGAAGTGATGGCTGTAGTGTTAATGTTAAATGGGGTTGCACTCTGGGAGCCCTTCGCTAGAACAAAAACCGGCTCGGGAACCAGTTTCCTTTCCAGTCAGCGGCTCAAGAGGAAGACCTGCAAGAACTGCGGAAAATCAAACAGGCCTTGTTGCTCAGTGCCCAACCACATGATGGGATGGCGCCCAGCTGAACTCTCAACCTTGCAGAGGACAGACAGCGGTCCACAACAGCAGATGCAAGGACCAGATGAGGCCCCCATGAACTGCCTTAAGGCAATGGCGCATTGCAAGGGTGGCGGGAGCTTTGGCCCTCCAGATGTTGCTGAACTACAGTTCTTGACATCCCTGGCCACTGACCATGCTTGCTGGGGCTAATGAGAGCTGTAGTCCAGCAATACCCAGAGGGCTAAAGGTCCCCCACCCCTTAGTACTGAAAGCGAGGGAGCAAAAAAGCACCCCTAGCCACAACCAGGATGCCACCTTTAATTGCAACAGGATGGCCAGAAGGTCCAGGTACATTTTTTTTAGACTGCTTGCCTTTCTGAGAGGTTCTGTTGCCTGCTCCCCCGTCTGCCTGCCTGCAGCAATTAGGTTAGGAGACAGTTAACCAATTAAATCACGAAACAGGGGAGGGGGATATTTGCTCAGGATCCCAGCAGAGCAAGTTAAAGCTCACCTGTGCACTATAAGATCTCATTAGTAAACTGAATCAAGTTTGGAGGCAGTAATGAAAGACTTTTTGGGGAGACCTTCTATAAAATCTTTACTTAAAACAAAAGAATCCAGGGTTGCTTTTTTAAATATCCTGAGAAACATTACTCGTTTAAATAATAAGAAGCACTAAAGATGCCAAATTATTTTATTTTGGGGTGGGGGGGGGAGTTTACCAAAAAAATAAACTCCCAGATTTTCTAAATAAGGCTTGTTTTATTTTGTCATCTCATTTGCAAATGAGTCTTTCCTCAGCATATTAATCTTTCAACATACTTCATATCAAAAGGTTTTATTCAATACCAGCCCTACTTTCGAGTTAGATCCATTGGTGTTAATGGACACAACTACCTTAGGTCTGTTAATTTCAGTGGGTCTACTCTGAGCAGGAGGGCTTTGCTGGCTACAACTGAAGTCCTTTATTCTGTTCCCTTTCTTAATTCTTGCATCTAAGGATGTTGGGGGGGGGTCATTGCCTTTTTAAAGCAAAGCTCTATTTTCACAGATTAGAAAGCAAGACTGTGATTCAAAAACAGTGCACTCTCTGGCCCTCTAGAAAACTCGTGACAGTGGTAACATAATCATACTATAAAATATAAGCGAAACCAAGGCATCTAAAAAGCTGGTTGAAACGTCTCCCAAATGTTGCCAACAACATTTTGCCTGATTCATACCCAATTTCAGAACCGGCCAACAAACCCAAATCCAATATTCTAGCACACAAAACATTTACAACAGTCGCCTTTTCACAAATATATAACATACACATAACACAATTTAGTGCAGTTGACGCTACCGTCAAGAGCTGAAGATCTGCTTTGGGAGGAAAGAGAAAACATTCAGGGTTCTCTCCTGCTCAGAAGCAGACCCATTGAAATTAGCAGACATAACTAAAGGCCGTTCATTTCAACAGGTTTACTCTCAGCAAAACTTGGTTGGATGAAACTCGCAGGTGTGTATTGTAAAACCCGTTTGTAGAGCCTGAGACACTCAGTGGCTGATGGTCAGAGAGTTGTAGCCCAACAGGATCTACAGGCCCTTAGGCTCCTCATCCCTGTTGCAAAAGGTGAAACACACACTTTCCCTAATGCTAAGACAGCCACGAAACCCCAACAGAACACCGTTCATTTAGGGAGCATGCGATCTCTCTCTCCCCTTCCATCAAGCTTTTGTGCCACAGACAAGGACTGGCTGAGGGCATCCGATCGCTCTCAAGATCTCTGCAGAAGCGCTTGGATAAGGCAGGAGGCATGGGATGGCGATACTGCTAAAGAGCATGCATGTAAACCTCAGCGGCTTAGTCTACACACATGCAGAGGCACAAGGTGGTATAGTCTTGATGTGGCAGAGATCTGGCTGTTCCACTTCAAAGCGGAGGACACACCATTTCTGAATGAGCAATTCTTTTTTAAAAACAAACAAACCTTGACACCAGATCACGGGACCATCAGGCAGAAAAGTAACCATGCGTGACAGGTCAACCCTACAACCTGGCAGGTCAGATTCCCATTCACATGATTGTATTCCCCCCCCCCCTCTTTTATCTGAAGGGCTGTCAGAATGGGCAACCCTTTAGCAGTAACCTTTAGTTATCGAGCTATTCCACCACCTTGTACCATTGCAAGGGGTAGACCCAAGCCTAAGCCCAAAAATAGAAAATAAATAGATTTTACCATCCCCTTTGAACTATCTTCATAAAAGCCAGGAATATATATTTAGAAGTGTACATCCATGAGAAAGCTTCAAATGAACAAACAACATCGGAGTGTGCTGAAGAAGAGGAAATGTGCTAGGAACATCTCCTGGTCTTGATTGGAAACTCCCTTAATACCCTGCCTGGACATTTCTCACATGACGGCTGCCCACTCCAGCATCATTCTAGCCTAGAGGCACTCAGGGCCCCATCCCAAGCAGCTGCAAGCAAGGCTTAGTGGCCCAAAGCAGGGGTAAGCAAATGCCGTGACCTCCAAATGCTGAGGACACAAACTCCCTTCATCCCTGGCTACTGATCACGCTGGCTGGGGCTGATGGGAGATGGGAGTCCTTCACGTCTGGAAGACACTCCGTTGGAAACCCTGATCCAAAAAGGCAACAGCCAAGCCAGCCTGCATTCCCTGAGGGCAGCTGTGACTCCTGGCCTATCTCTGCCGACTGGGTCATTTAATAGGTGCTTGGCAACGGCTCCTTGTTGGGTTTTTAAAGACACAGAAAACACACACGTTGCTGGGCCTGCAGACTTGCTTATACCATAGCAGTGTTTGCGAAGATCACCACTCAGGCGATGCCTGCATGTGTGGCTGAGCAAACTGGAAACCCCATGGAAATGGAAGCCCCAGCGAACTACGGCCTACAGCTCCTTGTTCTTGGCAGAAATCTACAGTCCAGGACCCAAAAGAGCGGCAAAGGGGGAAGTTGCCACCCACCAGCACATTCGCATAAGACTTTCCAAATCACTCACTGCCACATAAAAAAGACACACCCGAAGTTTGGGTGGCTTTTCTGAGAGTCAACCATCCGAGCAAAAATGGCTGCTTGTCTGGAAACCGTAGAAATCCCAAAATTATTGGGTGTATTGATTTTGTTTTGCCTTTTTAAAGAATCCCAATACATTCCCCATGTGACAGTGAAGTTTTAACCTTCAGATTTTGCACAGCTCAGAGGAAACATCTCCTGTGCAAGCCCAGCTGAAACCAAAAGGTATGTACACAGGCGCACACAAGTGCTTTTGGTGCACAGGCCTTGTGATTTCACCAGCAATGGTTTAAGGAGGCGTCTGACGTTCTCTGTTACTCACCCAACAGGTGACAACTGCCTGTATGTCCCAGTCCAACCAATTCCCAACTTTGTCTTTCATACAGAGGCCGCCTTTGTCTTAATGTTGCTGATCACATCTAGAGTTGATCTATGAACACTCATCTTGACAACTTTCTGCAATTCAAAACCTGTCTCCCTCCTTCCAACCCCCCCCCCCCAACAAGACCTATTTATTTTTGATCACCATCAGGGAGGTATAATAAAGTTCCTACAAACACATTTAAACAAAGATGGTGGGATAATATCCCAGGGTGGGGGTAGGAATCCCTGCTCTTAAGCAGCCATGAAACCACATTTCTTGTGAGCCGGAAAAGAAAAGAAAAAAGTGTGTGGGGGGGGGGGAAGAGTGGCAATCAAGAACGGACTGATCCTCTTCACTTTGCCAGAAATAAGTGCACAGAACTGAAGATTTGAAAAAGTAAGAGAAAACGTTTTAGCGCCCCTTTAACCAACATTTGCCCGACCCACACAGTGGCCAATAAAGAGAATCTGGGGATTTGCCGATAACCGGGAACAAAAGTCCAAGGAAACATCATTCGTTTTTAATAAGGCTTTTGAAAAAACAAAAACAAAAAACCTTCTTTCTAGGAAACACGTTGTGCGGAAAACACATTGCACATTGACGAACAAACATCGGACATTTCTAATGTGCCCCGACGAAAGTATCTCCGCTCGTTTCTCTCTCACCTCAAGCTCTCCCGACAGACAGAAAAACAACGACATGATATCTGGTCATCAGCAGAACAGACTGATATGAGGTACATCGCTGTATTTAAAAAAGTTATTATATATATTTATATAATATTATATTATATTGGTCTACTCCCCAGAGCTACAGGCTTAAAAACATGTTTTTGTACAGAAGGGATTCGGCCTCCCATGATCCTCTGCTAGTGCCAACACTCAAAACTCCTCTTCTTCGTCTATAGCAAAATTGTTCTGCTTTTTCCGGACGTTCCAGTGCAAACATTCGGCCAGGCTATCGAACCAGTCACTTACGGGGTCTTGGAAACAGATTGAAGGGAGGGGGTAACAGGAGGTAGTAATGCTGATGCTGTAAGAGACAGAATTGTTATTAGGATTGGCCTTCAGTTCAGGACAGGTTCAACGGAGGATAAAAGCTTATTTCTTCCACTTGGGAATTGCTTCCTCAATGTGGCTGAATGACGGAAACCATCCCTAAAGTCGCACAGGGTTGATTCCAACACTAGCCCTGCTCATAGTAGACCCACTGAAGTGAGTGGACACAAGTCAGAGTCATCCTAGTCAGAGAATGCCTTTATAATTTTGCCAGGCATCCGTGGCCTTTGCAGGTACCTTGTCTTACGTTACCCTTGGGTAACGTAAATTTCGAGTTACGAAAGCGGCAAACCTGGAAGTGTTTTGCCATGCGCACATGCACAGAAGCGGTCCCTCCAGTTGCGGAAACCTCGGGATCTGACCGGAGCTCCGGAACGCATCCCGTCCGCAACCGGAGGTACCACTGTACTAAGAAGAAAGCCTGCTCCCAAGGCAATTTGACTGCACTAAAGCAGGTGGAAGCTGTGCCTACCCCAGACATTGCTCAACCACTGGCTATGCTGGCTGGGTTTGTTGGGAGTCCAACATCTGGAGGGACCACAGTTTCCCCCACCTCTGCAATAAAGCAGGATTGGCTTTTGGGCACTAGCTTTTCTAGATACAGCAGATGTTGTCTTCCTTTAGGAATGTTTTCTTTTGAAATGTTTAAGGCTTGTTGTTGGTTAACTTTGGGGTGTTAAAATGTGCATTTTGTAGCTGACCTCCTTTTGTAAAGCTTTCTTTGAGAAATATAAAGTATATATTCAAAGAAACATCATTAACAGGAATCTAAAATATTGTCTTAGTTTCCCGTTAATGATGTTGCTTTGAATGTATACTTTATATTTGACTTTCTTCAGTAATGTTCTATTGCGGACAGCTCTACTGGATGCTTGAATGAGTTGTAAGCCGCTCTGAGATTTCCCCCCCTTAAAAATATGAAGTGCTATAGAAATGAAATGAAGAATGAGAATGAGAATGTTTGCTGAAGTCACGTCCACACCGTTTAAGGCACTCTCACAGCACTTTAACAGTCAGGGCTTCCCCCCTGTGCCAAAGAATCCTAAGAACTTTAGTTTATTAAGGGTGAAGATTTCACAGAGCTACAATTCCCAGCACCATAGCAAACTCCAGTTCCAAGGATTCTCCACGACTGCTAAAGTGGTATAAGAGTGCTTTAAATGCATGGTGTGGACGTGACTCAAGTCAGGCGTTCCTGCTCTTCCTCATATATTTAGCGACAGAAGAGAGCACCAATTGGCACAGAGAACTCAGAAGGGCATCCTCACCTGTCCCCGTGGCAGATCTCCTGCCTCTTCCGCCCATCGAAGGAAACCCACGCTGTATTCCTGGCTTCGGGAGACAGCATGATCTGAGGAGAAGGGAAAGCACATTGATTTCCAGGATCTAAATTTTTTAGCTTGCTGTCTGCTGGATCAGGACAATAGGCCTGTTCTCACAGGGACCAGCCAGATTGCCCACAAGAAGCCGGCCAGCACAATCTGGGTGGAACAGCAACTCTCCCCACTTGCAACTGCCAGCAACTGGCACCTCCAACAGCGGAGGCAGAAGGCTGAGCCCAGGAGAAGGCAACCTGTTTTTTCCATGCTGCCTTTCAAACAAAGCAGCAAACCGCTTCAGCAGAATCTGACCTTTCAGTAGGGTTTAAACATGTTTTGGCACATTGCTTAAGAAAGCAATAACCTCTTTGGCTGCCAGGAGGGAAGGCGGGTGTGTGAGAGAGAGCTGGATTTTATACCGATGTTTTGTTTGGTTACATAACAGGCAGCTTAAAGCTTGTTTGTTTGGTGGGCGGGAAAGCTTTCTAATTCATTAATCATTAGGCATTTTTATCCCTCCCGCTTTTCAGTCTAAGAGACACGGCACAAAAGGAACAAAGGACTGGGAGGGAGAAGGAGAGGGGAAAAAGGCAAGCTCAGGCGACAATTCTCAGGGGGAGAGATCTCGCAGCGACTAGCAGAATTTGGAGAGGGAAAGGAAACTGATTAAGGACCCACCTTCAGCTCCACCCCAGCAGGAACAACGATGGGCCGGAAAGAGAGCGAGTGTGGGCAGATTGGGGTGATCATGATGGCAGGGACATTCGGGTGGATCATTGAAGCGCCTGCAGCAGCTGCGTACGCCGTGCTGCCCGTGGGTGTGGAGACGATGACACCTGAGCGGAAAGAGCAAGCGCAAGTCGCAATTATAGCCTCGCCTGTTCTTTATAGGACTGGGAACATCCCTTTCAACAGGACTGTGCAACCAACTCATTTAAAATATTGTTAGGACACTCACCCATTCGAAGCAGTTAAAAACAACAGTCTATTAAGAGAGCTGGGGAGCGGGGCGGAGGCAGTTCAACCACCCAGCTAATGGACGTCGTGCCTGCAAGGCTTCTGAGATGCCTCCCATGTAGGAATTTGATGCAGGTGCAATGGAAGGGAAGGGAAGGGGAACTTGCCAACCAACTTTACCTACCTAGGGGTAAAGGTAAAGGTAAAGGGACCCCTGACCATTAGGTCCAGTCATGACCGACTCTGGGGTTGCGGCGCTAATCTCGCTTTATTGGCCGAGGGAGCCAGCATACAGCTTCCGGGTCATGTGGCCAGCATGACTAAGCCGCTTCTGGCTAACCAGAGCAGCACACGGAAACGGCGTTTACCTTCCCGCCGGAGTGGTACCTATTTATCTACTTGCAATTTGTGCTTTTGAACTGCTAGGTTGGCAGGAGCTGGGACCGAGCAACGGGAGCTCACCCTATCGCGGGGATTCGAACCGCCAGCCTTCTGATCGGCAAGTCCTAGGCTCTGTGGTTTAACCCACAGCGCCACTCACGTAGGGGTAGGCAGATCTTAAAAGTGCAGGCAGTATAACCGTAAGGGTGCAGCTGGTCCAGTAAACAGCTTGGGGACAAACCATTTAAGGACCTAAACAGAGCTCAGCTATGAATGCTCTTAAGGGGTACAGGAAGGCGCCTTAGCATAGGAAGTGCCCTTATCCCGAGACAGACTCCATTTAGCTCAGGACTGCCAACACTGACTGGCAGCAGCTCCTGGGGGGTTTCAGTCCCATCTCAAGATGCCAGGCATGCAAAGAAAATACTCTCCAGCCCCCAAAGGAGGCAAGGGGCAGGGGGCCCCGCTCTGCTCTCTGGCAAACAGAAAACGTGCTTACCATCTCCTTGGACTGTGGTGATATGGTGCCCATCTAGAAAGACGTCCACGTTGGAAAGATATGAGGAAGGGCCCCGATCCACCACAACTTCATTCAGGACCTGCCGACAGGAAATGCAGATGATGGAACGGAACAGTTACGAAAGAGGTTAAGTTACAGGTAGGTAGCCGTGTTGGTCTGCTGTAGTCGGCGGGGGGGGGGGGGATTCCTTCCAGTAGCACCTTAGAGACCAACTAAGTTTGTTATTGGTATGAGCTTTTGTGTGCATGCACACTTCTTCAGATACACCATTACACCATTTTTGTTTCTTTGTTTCGAAAGAGGTTAAATATTTGATGACGCTGACTAGAACTCTGAACCAGAGTCATTCTGTTTTAAGATCTACTGTATTGTGTTTGTGTGGAAGTAGTAAAATCTGTTGTGTTTCTACAGGGTTTATAAGACTCTGGCTTTAGCCATAGACACATACAGTGGTGCCCCGCAAGACGAAATTAATTCGTTCCGCAAGTTTTGTCGTCTAGCGAATTTTTCGTCTTGCGAATTATTATTTAGACAAAGGAAACAAAGTCGCGAGACGTTTTCGTCTTGCGAAGCAAGCCCATAGGGAAATTCGTCTTGCGAGGCAACTCGCAAACGGAAAAACCTTTCGTCTAGCGAGTTTTTTGTCTTGCGAGGCATTCGTCTTGCGAGGTACCACTGTAATTTATTTTAACAAACAATAAAACATATATTGGTCTTAACACTAAAGACCGGTTATTCCTGTGTGTAATTTGGTATTTGTGTTTTTTTCTTTCTTCTTGCTGTATCAATAAAAATCTTTTTTTTAAAAAAAGACCCTGGCTTTATGATTTTATGACCGATTTTTAGCATGCAGAAAGAAAGCCTTAAATGGTTTTTAATGGGCCAGCCAGCATCATTTGGAGTTGTAATCCAAAAAGTCTGGTGGACTGTCCCCCCCCCCCCGATTTCACTTTCCAAAAGTGCTTGGGTTTTTTTAAAAAAACAATATACAAATAATAAAATAAAAAATAAAATAAAAAATATAAAAATAAATAATAGCAACCAGCCCTATACTGCTCTTTAACCCTCTGAAAACTGGTAGTTCTAAGATCAGTGTGGGACTGTTTGCAAAAGGGATTTCAAACAGCCCCACACTGCTCTACACATTTCCGGTTTTCCAACATTCAAAGAGCAATGCTAGAAGAGAGAAGCGGTTCCCATGGAAACCACTGCTAAAATGGAACTCCTCCCCTTCACTTTAACAATGGTTTCAATGGAAACCCTCCCCCAAAAAGGTGCTCTCACAGCCCATCAACTGATGGAAGATGGAAACACACCTTCTTTCAACGAAAGACCATCAACAGCTCACTTTAAGCTCCTGATTAGTCATTTGAAGCTCTGCCCTTACCTGCCACACACCTGACATCAGGTGTACGGTGGGCATGGCTTGCCCAAAGTGGCCTTGTGTGACAAACAGGGAAGTCTGGTGGGCCTGAGGGCCAGAAGCCACTGACCCATTTTTTAAAAAAAATTACATTTATATCCCACTTTTCCGTCAAAGAGCTCAAGTTGCCCTTCTCCCCATTTTATCCTTACTACAGTCCTCTGCGGTAGGTTAGATGCTGAGACCCAGTGAACTGGCCCTGAGGTCACACCCAGTTAGCTTCATGGCTGAGTAGGGATTTGAACTCTGGTTTCCCAGGTCACAGTCCAACACCCTAACCACTACGTTATGCTGGTTTTCTATATCTGCACAGACACTTCAAGATGCTTCATGGGAAGGGATTCATAAGTTTAATATATTAAATATATTATTAAATAGCCATTATAAATATCATCATCAATATTATATTGCCACCACCATCATTGTGGTGAGGACTTGGTGGTCCCCTTAGGGGCTTCCTGGTTGGCAGTGACCTGTCGCAGGGCCTTTTCGGTGGTGGCTCCTGGCTGTGGAATGAGCTCCGCAGTGAGCTGTGCCTGTCTCCATCATTATTAACTTTCAGGAGGAAAACTTCCCATTCCAGTGAGGCATTGGATGGCTGAAGCATACCATTCCCGGATCCAGAACACCGGATGGAAGAATGCTTCTGACTGTAACTGTTTTTGGAATGTTTTTCACCGTCATTGCCCTTATAACGCTTAACTGTTTCAGAATGCTATGGCTTTTGCTTTGTGTTTTTAAACAGTGGATCTGTTTGATGCCCTGTGCTCCTTCGGGAGGGAGGGATGGGATATAAATTCAGTAACTCACTAAGATTAACCTCATCGTTGTTGTTGTTGTTGCTGCTACTGGAAGAAAAGCAAACCTCGCCCACCGAATGCACGCACCTGATATTGAGTGGCTTGCTTGAACAGCTCCTTCTCTAGGCTCGGAGAAATCAGCCCATTCTCTTCAATCCCATTTTGAATCATTGCCTTCTTCTCCTTGTGCTCCTTGAGCACTTTCACTTTGAGCCTGCTCCGCAGAACAAGTGCTGCATTGCCTGTGGTGGGTGGAGGGTGAAAAACCACACCTTTCTAAGTAAAAGGACATAAAAAGACCTACCAACATGGGATCAGTTTAGGAGATACAGTACTCATTGTTCCTACCAAGCCCAGACACTTATCTGTATAATAAAAATATATTTGCTACAATAAACATATAAAGGCCAAAGGGCTGTGAAGCCCAGAAAATTCAGGGGAAAGCTGCAGATGGCCCCAGGTTCAGGCCCTGACATCAAGCTCAGTATTGTCTACACCAGGGGTGGGGAACCTCAGGCTCAGGAGCCAAATGCGGCCCTCCATGCCTCTCTATCTAGCCCTTGGGACTCCCCACAGGCCAGGAAAGGAGGCTAGAGGGGAGCGAGATGGTATGTCAAAACAAGCCTATCATGCAAAGGTATTTTGCATCCATTGCTCCATCCACTTTTGCCTCTGGCTCCGCCCACCAATGTCACCAGGCCTTCCCAGAAGAAAATGCTGCTCTCAGGCTGAAAAAAGGCTCCTCACCTCTTGTCTATACTAATACTAGAATTAAAGGTAAAAGGATCCCTGACCATTAGGTCCAGTCGTGACCGACTCTGGGGTTGCGGCACTCATCTCGCTTTATTGGCCAAGGGAGCCGGCGTACAGCTTCCGGGTCATGTGGCTAGCATGACTAAGCCGCTTCTGGCGAACCAGAGCAGCGCACGGAAACGCTGCTTACCTTCCCGCCGGAGCGGTACCTATTTATCTACTTGCACTTTGACGTGCTGTCGAACTGCTAGGTTGGCAGGAGCTGGGACCGAGCAACAGGAGCTCACCCTGTTGCGGGGATTCGAACCGCCGACCTTCTGATCGGCAAGTCCTAGGCTCTGTGGTTTAACCCACAGCGCCACGCTCTGGAATTTCAGGTGAGGGTCTTTCTTAGCCATACCTGGAGATGCCAGGGATCAAACCTGGGATCTTCTGCATGCAAAGCTGCTAACTCCCTTCCACATCCCTAGTCTTAAGAGTTTGCAGCAGGGATTGGCTGCATTTGGGAGCACTAGCCTGGAGCTGTCAAGTGTACCCAATCTCATCAGGGAGGTACTGACTGATTGCAAGAATCCTAATAAACTTTGTTGGCACCCATCTGCTCAAAAGACAGTGCAGTGCACCTGTATGGGTGAAGAAACTGCTGCACTGAAGTGACCTCCCTGGGGGAACAAGCCTAGGCAGTGTGTATAGAGGTCCTGGGCTGCGCAGATGACAATAACCCCCTCTAGGCCTCGCTGATGTGGTCCAAAGTAAAGCAGAGCAATACGTTTGGCACCAGCTGGGCTGCGGGAGTTGCCAGAAGGAGGCCTACAAGGCGCCATCCAACCGCCTTAGGACTCAACTCCTGATCTGTGTAGTGTTTACTCCTGAGCCTTTTCTTCTCCCGAAGATATCCGACAAAGCAGCAGAGATTTCTAACAAACTACCGATTTGTTTTTGTTCTTGTTAATAAAAATGCTGCCAGCATTACTTCTGCATAAGCAGCACAAGTGACTAGCTTGGCACAAACCCTTACCTTCAATAACCTGAGTCACTTGGGACTGAAAGTTCTCGAAATTGAACGGGGTAAGGAATCCCAGGGAACCCAGGTGGAAAGCCATCACGGGAGGTACGCTGCCCTGGAGGGGAAAAGGGGGGGGGAGAAGAGAGCATTCAGAAGCGGCACAAACTGCCCTTGGTCTTGGCGTTCAGGAGTCAAAGCTTTTAACAGTTTCAACACATTTCGCTTTTAACAGTTCTGTGCCAATAATGTGGAGGACCAAAAAGGAGGCCCAAAAGAGATCGGCATCCCCAAAGAAGCCCGCAAATGTTACTAGCCCAACAATTTTTTTAGCAGCCCACCGGTTCACATGTGGTAGCCTAAAACGGAGCACTCTTGAGGTCTTCCCATATATATATATATAATTTTTACCAACCACCGAAACACAAACAGTGAAACCACCCCAGGCGGCTGATACATTGGGTATACAATATTCAATAATATACATATTCATTCAGTAATATACATATTCAATAATATTCAGTAATAACATATTCAAATTAACCATATGAACACTTCTATATACCTTAACACTCCTCCTTCCACAAGGTTTATTTAACTTTTAACATTTTAATTGCCCCAAATTGTTCAAACCTACTCAAATAATTCAATATCTTCTCAAACCAATCCTCCTCTTTCTCACTGACCTTAAACCCTTTCATTCTATGTATCTTCACAGTTAGGTATTCCAAATTTATAATATTATTCAGTTTTTTCCTCCATCGGTTCACCCCTAGCTCTTCTGCATTTTGCCAATTACTCGCTATAACCTGTCTGGCTGCAATTACCATCAATTTTACCCATTTGCATTCCTCTTTTGTTTTTAACTCAATACTACTCAGGGTAATAAGAACCATTAATTCAGTTATTTCCATGTTCCTTACCACAATTCCCAATATTTCTATACCAATCTGTTTCCAAAATTCATTAACTAACGGACAATCCCACCACATATGACTGTATGTTCCCATCACTCCACATTTCCTCCAGCAATTCTTACTTCCAGATTTTGTAATATGATAAAACCTTACTGGTGTATAATACCATTTTTGTACCAGCTTCAACCCCTGTTCCTGGATATCCTAGAGGTCGCAACAAAGGGTGGTTGTAGAAAGATTCTTTCCCAATCTTCATCTAAAATCTGTTCCTGAGTATCTAACCTCCAATAATCTTTCAAACTTTCTTTTGGTGATTTCCCCTTTCTACCCTCTTGGTCATGCGGCAGCAAAGGCGGCTACCTTCTTCTCCCTCGGAAAGTACATAGTGCTGAAGGAGGAAGTTTGAGAAATGGCACTTTCTGGTTTCCTCTTCCAGCTCTTTGGGCTTCATCGAGGCTCAGATTAATTCTACCGGATCAGAGTTTTGCACAGATGCCTTGGAGAAGCAAACTCTGCCTTTTATCTCTCTCTTTCTGCCTCTCCCTTGGTGGGGTGGGAGGAGAAGTAATCAGCGAGGGCACAGCTCCCACTCAAAAATCCTAATGGACCTACAAATGTTGGGTGACTCTTGGACTAAAAGGAGAACCAAAGTTGGTGGAGCTTCACTGTATAGCTGTGGCAGCCTTTTTCTCAGTCCTTGCAGGCACGTTTGGGTGGGACGCAGGAGCTGCCCCATGGCTGCCCCAGACTCTAGAACTCCCTAGAGAAGCTCCCTCTTTGTCCTTCCACTGACAGGTGGAGGCTGTTTTATTCCAGGAGGCTTTGGGGAAGTGGCAGCTTTTAAGGAAAGGGGTCGTAATAGTGCCATGCTTTTTAAAAAACAATCTGCATTTTAATAGATTTATTTTCACCTCGTTTTAATTCTATTCCGAGTTGAATCACTTTAAAATTACTATTTTTATATGCCCTTAGCGCTCTGTGTTTTATCTGTGCTGGTTTTAATATTTGTGAGCTGCCTTGAGTCCAAGTTCTGGGGGAAAGGAGGGAAACAAAGGCGTGGGGGGGGGAATCTTGGGCAGTCTATACTCAACACCAGGCTGTCAACAAGCCTGTGTGTATTAAATTCTGCATAGGGCTTTCCCTAGGGCTGGGTAATATGTCAATATATCATCCAAAAACCAGTTTGAAGTCCCTATCGTGATAGCAGTTTCATAATTTTTGGCCTGACAACGTATTGCAAATCATGATATGTGTGTGTGTGTGCTATGCAAAAAAACACAATGCAAGAAAAACCGTGAAGCCAGCCAATGCATCTACATAGCTCCGTCCTTATTTCAGACATCATGATGTCTTGGTATATCACAGTGTTTAGCTGGTAATATATCCTAATGTTGAAAGCCAGATATTGCCCAGCCCTACTGTTCGCCTCTACATAGTTCCATCCTTATTTCAGACATTGTGATATATCAATTTATCGTGATGTTCAGCTGGTGATATATTGTGATGTTGAGAACCAGATATGGCCCAGCTCTAGTCCTCCCACCCTCTTTTTAATAATAACAACAACAACAATAATAATAACAATAATAGGACACGTTTAAAAGCAGCAACTTATATTTAAGTACAGCCACACCAAGCCCTTATAAACAGGCAGGGCAGAAAGGGAGGCACATAAGTGAATACTGAGTGGGGAAGAGCCAAAAGTTAGTGTTAAGGGCCTGTGGAAGAACACGCAACCATCACGAAGCATCCCATGTGGACTTCATAAGAGAGAGATTGCAGGCAAGGGAAGGATGGTGAAGATAAACTCACCGGGAAGAGTGAAGAGGCATAAAGCAAGGTCCCGTCTCCTCCCAGGCAGATGATAAAGTCTATCTGATTGGAGATATCATCGTAGTCTAAAAAAGAAAAAGAGTTTGAAAACACAGAATACGATTTTTTAAAATTCCAATCCTATCTGTTTAAAAGGGCAGAAATACAGCAGTATAAACCGATTGTGGCTTTTCGCTTGACCCTCCTTTAGCCCATTTACCCATTTACCTGCTCGTTCTGGCTCTTATCTGACTGCTCTTGCCTTCCTTCTTTAAGGAAACAGACACGGCACCTGAATTTGCATGTTGCAGTAAGTCAAAGTTACAAGCTTCATAAACCAAACTGCGCACCCAGCTCAATTGCTCTAGGTCATGGAAGGGTGATAGCTCAGAGGCATAGCTTTCCATGCAAAAGGTCCCAGGTTCAAACTATGGCAACTCCAGGCTGGGCTGGGAATGTATTCTGTCTGAAATCCTGGAGAGCTGCTGCCAGCCAGTGTTGACAACACTGAGCTAGATGGACCAATGGCTGGACTTGGTATAATGAAGCTTTCTGTGCTCCTGTGCTCTTGCTTCGCTCTTCCCCTGGTACAAGCAGGTAAAGAATCAAAGAAGGCAATAGCTTAGCATTGCAGCCAAATGCAGGATTCTGGGTTGTACTGCCCTAACAAACCACGATCGCTAGTGGAGCTTAAACCATGGCTTGTTGCTGATGCACATGACCCCTGGCTTGGAGGCAGCGCTATGCTAGCCCTTTCTTGGCAACCCAAGAAAGCTTACTCAAGGAAAGGGGCAAAATGGGAGAGGCTGGGCGGTGCATGCTCCAGCATGTGGTTTGTGTGCAGTGTGGTTTATTAAGCCAAAAAAACCACTTTTCACTAATATATACAGTTTATGCACACCTTTGCCTGATACAGGCATGCTTGTACCACATCATTTGACTGGAGAACTGATCACAAAATTCAGAGAAGAGTGGATTTTGACACAGTTAGCTGTGTTTCGGTTCATAGATTTTTCCAGGAACTGTACATTAGGTAGTCTGTATATTAAAATGCAAACCAAACCAAATTTCTGCTGCATCTCTAGCTCCCGTTACATGCAAAACGCAACCTCTCTCACTATATATATATTTACCTTCACTGAAAGTGCAAAATTTCTTCTTCACTGGTCCAAAACTATCATCGTTCATGATGGCTGGGTCTTCCAACACTTTCTTTTCTACGTAGACAATCATGTTGTTCACCTGAAGGGTGGGGAGGAAAAGATTAAATTAAAACTATCTTAACACTGAGTGAAAAATAGAAGCATGACCTCTTGAGACAAGTGTATTTATTTTTAAAAATATACCCCACTTTTTGAGGAAATTCTCCTACTGTCAAGTACGGGAGTTCCCCTCTCCCTTCTGCTGGCTCACCGATAAGAATTAATGAGCATTTGGTAGATTTATAGTCCTTTTATTTCAGCATTATGCTACAAGCACAAACAGGCAACCCTCCGCAAGGATATCAGTTGCCTACTCTGACTCCTCCTCACTTCCGCAGCAAGAAGCGCGCCAAAGAGAAGTCCCTCTTCCTCCACGTCTCCTTTGTTCTCTGACATGCTTGGACCTCCGGGTTCGGGGAGAGGGAGGGGGTCCCCCCTCACTCTCAATTGATGTATCGCCCAGCTGCTCCCTCCCTTCTGGTTGCTTAGCTACTATCTCATAGCTGTGTCTGCCTGTCTCTCTGCTTCTGTTAGTAATAATAATAATAATAATAATAATAATAATAATAAGAAGAAGAAGAAGAAGAAGAAGAAGAAGAAGAAGAAGAAGAAGAAGAAGAATTTATTATTTATACCCTGCCCATCTGGCTCGGTTTCCCCAGCCACTCTGGGCGGCTTCCAACAAAACACTAAAATACAATAACCTATTAAACATTAAAAGCTTCCCTAAACAGGGCTGCCGTTAGATGTCTTCTAAAAGTCAGGTAGTTGTTTATTTCCTTGAAATCTGGCGGTAGGGTGTTCCACAGGGCAGGCGCCACTACCGAGAAGAAGAAGAAGAAGAAGAAGAAGAAGAAGAAGAAGAAGAAGAAGAAGAAGAAGAAGAAGAAGAATTTATTATTTATACCCTGCCCATCTGGCTCGGTTTCCCCAGCCACTCTGGGCGGCTTCCAACAAAACACTAAAATACAATAACCTATTAAACATTAAAAGCTTCCCTAAACAGGGCTGCCGTTAGATGTCTTCTAAAAGTCAGGTAGTTGTTTATTTCCTTGAAATCTGGCGGTAGGGTGTTCCACAGGGCAGGCGCCACTACCGAGAAGGCCCTCTGCCTGGTTCCCTGTAACTTGGCTTCTCGCAGCGAGGGAACCGCCAGAAGGCCCTCGCCGCTGGACCTCAGTGTCCGGGCAGGAGCTGCTCTTCCTGCGATTGCATTCCCCAGTCTTCCAATCCAGACCAGCCCCTGACACCTACAAAGCATCTTATAATCTCAGATAAAAACCACTCTACCTACACTTTGGAACTCCTTGCCTATTGACACCAGGCAGACACCTTCACTGTATTCTTTTCAGAGCCTGCTTAAAACATTTTTGACATGGAGGAGTTACATGTGGTCTTATTTCTTTGTAGCCGCTGTTAATCATCTTTCAAATATTTTTCATATATACAGTGGTGCCCCGCAAGACGAACGCCTCGCAAGACGGAAAACCCGCTAGACGAAAGGGTTTTCCGTTTTGGAGGCGCTTCGCAAAACAAATTTCCCTATGCTTCCCCCCTTTTTTCGCTCCCCCCCTTTCCCTAAGCCGCTAAGCCGCCTATCAGCTGTTCCGCTGATAACCCGCTTAACAGCTGATCGCGAAAAGCCGCTAGACCGCTGTAGCGCTAATCCGCTAAGCTGTCAATGGGCTTGCTTCGCAAGACGAAAAAACCGCTAGACGAAGAGAATCGCGGAACGGATTCTTTTCGTCTTGCGAGGCACCACTGTAAGTGTGTAGGCCAGTTTGAGCTTCTAGGCAGAAAGGCCAGATGGAAATGTAGTAATAAAGCAGAGTAACTGGCAGTGACTTTCCCAGGCTTCACACAGTTTACCCCAACCCTTCCTAGACTGCACATGGACCTTGTGCAACATGCAAAACCATGTGCTGCTCTACCACTAAGCTATGGCTTTTCCCCTTTACCGCAGAGAGCTGCCTTATATTATTTTACCTGTGAGTAATAGAACAGGTGCAATAACTTTCAAAAGGTAAGGAGGAATCACATCAGCAGAGTGACCATTTGAGTACGAGAGAGAGGAGATCAGGGTTGCCTGGCTCTCCCACAACATTGAAAGCAGATGAAAGACATGAATGGGCAAGAGCACAAGGGAAAAACCAGTTTAACCACTCTGAGATTCCTCCTGAAGGGACAATAGGAACTGCGGTTGGTTTCGTGAAGGAGCGAAGTGATCCCTGCCAAGGAGATCACAGCAATACAAATTTTCAGCTGGACTTAGTTTGAAACTTTGAAAAAGCTCCTATGTGTGAGGCAGTCTTCTGACAACCCCAAACCCAAGCAAACAGTTCACGCCATCCCAAAGTGAAATCCTCTTGGATAGATAGAAATGGCACATGCTGGCCACCTCAAACTCTTCTTGGCATTTATTTGCAGCCAAGGTTTGTTTGTTATGGGTTCTGGAAATGGTTTAAGCTTCCCCTGATCACTGGCCAGGCCAGCCAAGGCTGATGGGAGCTGGGGTTCAACAACATGAGCCACAGGTTCCTCACCCCTGAGATATAGGTCATGGAAGCCCTGACTCTGGATGAACTTTCCTGAGCACCGTCAGCATGCTTCAAGACACATCTCTGTAGCCCGTAAGAACACCCCACTTTAAAAATCACACCCCAATAAAATTCCCCGGCCATCCTGGTTGAGCTCACTAAGGCAGAGAAGTCCAGCCTACCTCTGTGAGATAGATGCAGAGGTCTTTGAAGGGCTGCAGGAGACTGGCGTCCCGGATTTTTTTTATAACAAGGACACTCTTCGGAGGTTTGTTCCATGTCAACCGCTGGCTTGCTGGGTCCTGAATGTGCCTGCAAAAACACAAAGCCAGGAAAGAAACAGGTTGAAGTTCCTGAGACAAACCACGTTAGCACTCCTCACGAGAAAACGATGGGCCAACTTGGCTCTGCATTTGGCACGACTGAGAGACAGCAAGCTTTTCCTGGAGTGAGCTGCTTCGGTTGCAGGTGGAAGACGGTAAGAACATAAGAAGAGCCCTTGTGAGTCTCAGGAACTGGTATTCATCCTGTCGATTCCTGGTTGCATGTGATAAAACACTGCCACAACTCCTCCTCATCATCTACAAGATGAAAACAAGACCCTTGACCATGCAGCCCTAGCGTGATGCTGAAGAAGTGTTTGGCATAGCCTTCTCCCTGACAGGCTGCTTTCTCTATGTGCAGAGGACTTAAGGGAAGCATTGAAACACCTTCCGGCCGGGGAGCTGCGTTCTGGGAAGGGAAGAAGGCTTCATACCTCAATTCTGTGCTCAAGATTCAGAGGCAGAAGCGGAGAAAGAAACTGCTTGGACCAATGACCTTGTAGTGGCACAGGCAATTCAAAACTATTAGGGCATATTTATGTATTATTTGAAATTCAGGTAGGTGGCCGTGTTGGTCTGACAGTCAAAATATATATAAAAAACTGCCCAATAGCACCTTAGAGACCAACTAAGTTTGTTCTTGGTATAAGCTTTCATGTGCATGCAACTTAGTTGGTCTCTAAGGTGCTCCTGGACAATTATTATTATTTTAAAAATATTATTTGAAATGTTAGGCAACAGCCATAGCTAAATGATAGAGCATCTTCCTTGAATGCAGAAAGTCCTGGGTTCAATCTCTGGAATTTCCCACTAGGGTTTTGAGAGGCTCCCTGCCTGAAGCCCTGCAGAGCCATTGCCAGTCAGGGTAGACCAGTGTGCTGGTCTCCAGCTGTTTTGGGACTACAATTCCCATCATCCCTGACCACTGGTCCTGCTAGCTAGGGATGATGGGAGTTGGAGTCCAAAAACAGCTGGAGACCAACATTTGGGAAACACTGGTATAGACAATACCAAGCTAGATGGACAAATGGTCTGATTCGGTAGAAGGCAGCTTCCTATGTTCCTATGTCTTACGGAAAGGACTGTAGGTCAGTAAAAGTGTATCTGCTTTGCATACAGAAGGTATGTTCAGTTCCTGGCTTATCCAGGTAGGTCTCCCAGAGAAAGTGCAAGTATGTGAAAGCAGTACCAAGCTAGATGGATTAATAGTCCAATTCAGCAGCTTCTTCTGTAAGTACTGAAGAACGCAATGTGTATTTTCTCTCCTCGCCCCACCCTTTTCGCTGAAGTTCCCCGGGTACAACCTTCCTTTCATTTCTTATTCTTGGACACTAAAAGAAATCATTAAGCTATGGTTGCTCAGAGGCAAACATTAAAACTTGTGGTCCAAAATATTATTTCCTTAGGTACTACCATGGGTTAACATACTTCTGACACTCAGATTCAAGCTGCTCCTCACCACCACACCTGGGTGCTGGTTGAGATGAGAACACCGCCTCCCAAGGCCTGCTTCAAATATGTGTTTTTAAGATGCTTTTGCTTTTAATTGCATTGCTTTGCTTCTTTGGGGAGAATTGGCAGAACATAAATTTAATAAGATATAATGCTAATAATGTGGGACACGGGTGGCGCTGTGGGTTAAACCACAGAGCCTAGGACTTGCCGATCAGAAGGTTGGTGGTTCGAATCCCCACAACGGGGTGAGCTCCCGTTGCTCGGTCCCTGCTCCTGCCAACCTAGCAGTTCAAAAGGACATCAAAGTGCAAGTAGATAAATAGGTACCACTCTGGTGGGAAGGTAAACGGCGTTTCCGTGCGCTGCTCTGGTTTGCCAGAAGCGGCTTAGTCATGCTGGCCACATGACCCGGAAGCTGTACGCCAGCTCCCTCGGCCAATAAAGCGAGATGAGTGCCGCAACCCCAGAGTCGGTCACAACTGGACCTAATGGTCAGGGGTCCCTTTACCTTTAATGCTAATAATAATTACAGGGAATTGGCAGGCACTACACTTAGTCTTGGTACCCTGATGTCGTGCAGACACCACTGCAGGCCCCCTCTGCACAAATGCCAATGTGTCACTCGACAACCTGAGCTGCCTGGTGTGCAACAAGCTGCAGAAAAGGCGGGGGCATTACTTGTCCCAGGCAAAATGCTCATCTGCTTGGTTGGATCAGAGTAAGCGCTCCTTCAACAAGCAAAGCTTAAGGAGTTAAGCTCAGCCAAACTCTCTGATCAACCGATGTCCCAATGCGGTTCTGGACTTTGTGTTTCCTAATCTCCTCCTCGCACCCATCTTTCCCAATCTTTAATGAGCTGGGCTTTTATTAGGGCAGCAAAGCTTGCCACCCCAGGTAGGTGCATCATGCAATTCCAGAGGTGCTGTCAAGGTATCTCGGTTATGCTTGGTGGGAAGGGTGTCAATTCTTAAGATTTCAAGGTGCGTCACCAGCAGCCAGAAGGATATGACAGCTCTTAAAACCGCTGCTTGGGTTTCTCCTGCACCACTCCAGCACCATATGCAATTTGCAAGAGTGTCATAATAATATAATAATATTCTTTTAATTTATATCCTGCCCATCTTGCTGGGTTTCCCCAGCCACTCAGGGTGGCTTATAGCATATATAAAAACACAACAAAGCATCAAACATTAAAAAAACCCAAAATATCCTATATGAGCAACAAACAAACCAATAAATCAACAGAAACCAATAACAACAACAATAATAAACAGCTTACAGTTATACCCAAATTAAAATAACTGCCAACCTCAATTAAACATTTAACCAACATCAACCCGACGAAAACAAAACGGAGGAACCAAAATTAGAACCGTTTAAAACATTTTAAAACATTTTAGCCTGTTGCCTCAACCCAAGAGTGCATGCATGGGAAAGTAACATGGGGGATTTCTAGATCTGAATAACAAATGGCCCGACTTCTAGCTTTAATGGTGTTGTGTCCTGATGGCACATGCTTTGGCGATCCTCTGATACATACTTAGTGTGTATATCTCCCCCCACCCCCACTATAATATGCACCTCTAATGTTATTTCCTTATTCAAGCAAATAAGGTCTTCCTCCAGTCCTGCTGTTCTGAAGATCATGCAATTTTTGATTGCATTTTATCCACAACCCCTTCCAAAGAAACTGGAGGAAGGCAGAACTTGCCTCCACACACAGTATCCCAAGAATGTGGAAAGCTGTGACCCTCCGGACGTTGCTCGATGATGATTTCCATCATCCCACGATGGACAGAGCTCATGGAGGTTGGAGTCCAGCAACATCCAGGGGGGTGACAGGTTCCTTATCTCTACTTTAAAAGAAGACAGAGCTGTGATGGCAGTAGCTGGGGACAGGAAAGGCAAGTGATGGCCTAGTTCAAGGACAGAGTCCTTTGGCCTTTCAGACATTGCTAGACTACAGCTCCCATCATCCTTGAGCGCTGGACACTCCAGCTGGGGCTGATGGGAGTTGGAGTCCCTGCACTATCCCATTTCTAGTTCTCAAAGACCCTAATGTTCTCCCCACCAGCTTTCAGAGGGTGAGAATTCCAAGACCATACAGTGGTGGGGAAACGTCTTGACCACAAAAGTTTGCAACGGAGGCACTGGGGAAAGCCATCCAATCCATTAAGTCGAGAGCAGGGGCATCCAATATGGTTCTCTCCAGAAGTTTCAGACTCCACCTTCCACTGTCCCTATCCATTGGCCATGCTAACTGGGGCTGGTGGGAGTTGGAGTCCAACACATCTAGAGAGCACCAGATTAGTGTAGGGTTTAAGCCAGAGTCTTGATTTACTTCTTTCTGGAGAGCCACCTCCTTAATCCAGAATATGTCAGGGGAGGGGGGCTCTCTACAGTTGATTGGGGTGTCCTCCAATCAGTTGGCATTTCTCTTGAGTATTAGCGAGCTAGAGACATGGGTTCAAAATCCCCAGCCATTCTCAAAGCCTACTAGATGATCGTGGGCCAGTCACTATCTCTCCCCTTAACCTACCTCACTAGCTGCTGTGAAAATAAAAACAGGGAAGCTCCTCAGAGGAAGGGTGGGAAGATTTTATAATCAATAATAAGTAATATTTTATCACAAACTTGGGTGGAAGGACATATATTTAAAGTTCTGGTCAGCATACGCAGACATCTTTACCCAAGGACCTCAAGAACTGACTTTAACGTCATAATTTACACATACAAGTCCACTTACGTATCCCTGTACTGGTTGTAAACTGGTCCCTGAACATGGTCTTTATTACTTTATTACTTAATTTCCAGCTTCATTTCCTTTAAAAAATAAAAACAAAACCCAAAACTGCCAACTGACCCTGCTGTTGCAAGAGGAAAGCCTCCGGGAAGTAGTGGTACAGTGAATCACGTAGATTTCTAGAGACATTACTGAACATTGGTGAAATGTATAGGAACTTGCTTCGATTCCGGTATTGTTCCTTTCAAAAACCACGGTTACACTACTTTGATTTTGCAGAAGTATCTAAATTTGTGGTTAATAGTTAATTATAAGAAACTCTTATTTGTACTGAGAAGAGCAACGCTGTTAAAAAATAATAGGAACATAACGTAAGAATATCCTGCTGGCTCATGCCAATGGCCCATGGATCCTATTCTGACAGTGGCTAACCAGATGCCCATTGTTGGAAACCCGCAAGTAGCACCCAAGGACAGGAGTTCTCTCCCCTCTTGTGGCTTCCAGCAACTGATATTCAGAAACAACTCCTGTCTCCGACCTTGGAGACAGAGCACAGCGGGAGTCAACCTAGGCAACCCTGCACCGTCACAGAAGCCAGTCGTCCTTGGCCTTCTGTGCAGAAAAACTGGGTGGATTCCTATCTGCCACCAGCTCTCGTCTGCAAAAAACCCCTGGCCTTAGGTGGCCTTAGGCAGACTGTTTTAACCTCACTGTGACACAAGGTTTGCTGTGAGACTGCTGCTCTTAAGCTCCAAGCTCAGGGGATGGGAAACCTGTAGGCTTCTAGATAA